TGCGCATGCTCCCGTCTGCTATCAGTTTCCCGACACATACTGTACCCCGTCTGAGTTCCACCAGGGGCGATCCTTTCTCCCTATGAGCTCAATCTTGGCCTCGGTGAGGAGCGACGTCGGCAACCCTACTGGAGACATTGCTTCTGTACAGGACAGGCTGTCATCGGGATCTGTGATACTCGATGAAGCTAGGTGGGCGCGCCTGAGAGATACGTGAGGCGAGACTACATAGATTAATGATGAGTACGACTGACTTAGCGCACTCCAATGCGGCCCTCTCGCCTTGGGACATCTCGTACATGGGGGGCGGAAGTAAAAACATCGTGGGAAGAGATTGCCCTCGAAAGGACGTGTAATATTCCCTGTCGGTCCGAAGGTTCCGACTTCTCCGATCTGCGGCGCAGCGGCGCTTGTCTCCAACCACAAACACCAATTATTATTGAAATACTCTATCATCGCCTTTCACTCTCCGTACTAAATGCGCCGCAAGCTCACGACATCCTGACTGCTGACATGCGATGTCCGAGAAGATACAAGGCCGCCCATGGCAGCCGCACGAAGACGCCCTACTGCTCGCAGCCATACACAACACTCAGGGTGATATAGATTGGAAAATAATCGCCAAGTTCGTCCCAGAGCGCACCAACAAAGCTTGTCGTAAGGTATTACTTCGTGCGGCTGTTACACTTTTTGCATTCTTACATTCCCTGTCAGCGCTGGCTGCATTCTTTATGTCCCACAGTCAAGAAGACGGCATGGACGCACGCAGAGGACGACACCCTTCTACGTCTTTACGAGCAACATGGCCCAAAGTGGGCGTTGATTGCACGCGCAATTTCCGGGCGCACAGACGACGCGTGTAGCAAGCGCTATCGCGAGGCTCTCGATCCGTCGCTCAAGCGCGACGAGTGGACGGCCGAAGAGGATGCACGGCTGATAGAGCTGCAAGCGAACATGGGAGGGAAGTGGGGTCAAATTGGACCTGCGATGGGACGCAGTGGCTTGGGCTGTAGGAATAGGTCAGCTTGTCTTCTGACGCTTTGTATCGCCAATCGCAAACTGACACATGAAAGGTGGCGCTTGCTCGAGAGAAAGCGGACTGCTGGTAGCCGCGGCACTGGATCCACGTTCGGGTCAGCAGCGGGCACAAGTTCGATTACTGAGCCACAAGCTGGGTCATCGGCGTTTCCACCCTTGCACCCACCAGTCGCCCAACAAGTCACACATTGGGGTGACGATTTGCTAGCTTGGGGGGCACAGTACCAAACAATGCCGAACTCCGCGTACTCGTACGAGAACACCCAGACGGGATCGACTTCGGCGTTCTACGCGACCAATACTGAGCAGCATACATCCTCCAGCGACTATAACATGCACTCTCTTGATGACACATTCGGATCTGAAGACTTCTTCGCTCGCCTAGACTTCGCGCAACCCCAAACTACGCATCCAACCTCTCAGCGGTCGAGTCTTCAGGTTCAGGACTATGGGCAATCTGCTGCATTTGGGTATCTCTCGACCACACCTATCGGTCCTGGACCCCTTCCGCCAGACCCAACTTACACTGAGTCGCACAATCAGGACGCACAATCACCCGCAAACGACGCGTTTCCCAGGCGCATCTTGGACTCACAAATCGACCCCGCACTCATGCATGACTTCGACCAGTCACCGCAGACTAGGCCACTGCCGCAGTATCCTCCACGCGTAGTGTCCGCGTCGCAACGAGCATCATCCCCTCATAGGATGCCCGTACGCCCTACTACCCCCGCGCGACCATCTGCACGTCCTTCGCCGCACCCAGAGCCGGCTTCCCTGGTCGACTCGCAATCTACGCCTTCTGCTCTTGCACATGCACAATCAGTCCTGTTCCCTCAATCCCCCGGTCCCGTAGCCTCACCAGAACTCCAACAACCGTCGCCTTTGCCATCCCCGCCACCCGCGTCTCCTGCACAACCAGCTCAGCCTGTCACAGATATCTTTGGAGACCAACCTTATCCCGCTCATGAGCATTCGCTGCCGCCTCTCGAAGCTCCCTCGCGACATACTCAACCATCCATCGAGACAGAGTCTCACGGGCTACCACCGTCTACTACCGTATCCCAGGCTGATCACGACTCGCTCGTCCCTCTGTTCGTTCAGCATCAGCATCAACCCCGCCTGGCCACGCCACAGGATTCGCTCGTTCCCGCGTCTACCTCCGATCCGATCCCGTCGGAAGAGGAGCATTCAATAGCTCAGGATACACTTCAAAAGCGCGTCCGCAAGAAGCCCTTCCTGTCCGCGTTTTTGCCTGCGTCCTCTGAGTACGTCCCATGACCTGATATGGATAAACAAAGACTCATGTATCGTATAGTCCAACGATTCTCGCTTACGCATGCGGGGTGCCCAGCTGCTGGCCGAACGTGAACTATGCGACTTCGTCTGAGCTCGCAGAGCACGGGCGCGTCATACACCCTACGCTCGTGGACATGCTATCGGATCCAGAACTCAAGCCGTTTCGATGTTCTCTCGCGGGGTGCAACAAGAGCTGGAAGAGCCTGAATGGACTGCAGTATCATCTTCAAGTCTCGAGGGATCACTTCCGCCAGGCACTCGCATCTGCGTCGCCCGCGCCCTGTGCGGAACCTCAAGCAAATGGTCAGGTCCAGAAGAAGGGGCGCAAGACGCATCCCTGTACGTTTCCTGGTTGCACAAACGTGTACAAGCAGCTCGCGGGGTTGCGATATCATCTCAAGCATGTATGTTCTCGTTCGTTCATTGCACGCATTTCGCGGCGCTTACAAAGCGATACAGGGTCATCCGACACATACTCCCGCACAGCTCGAAGCTGTGCCACCTACCTTGGCGAAGAAGATCGGAGAGCGCCAAGCGCGCAAGGGAGGCGCGCAGGTGTCGATGGTCTCACATGGTAGTAACGTTGTGCTCACTACCTGATGCATATCATGGCCATCGCATCGCCTTCAAGGCTGTGAATCATCTCCTACAGGCTTGATGCACAAGCGGTTCGTGCTTCTTAGAAGTGAGGGGTCTGAGGGCTAGACGGATGTTCTACAATTGGTCACGACTGTCGATATCTGCAAAGATACGAAGATCATTGCAACTACTGTTTTACGACCGGTTGTTCGTCGGCCGTCGTAAGCATGACGCGGGACACGCCAACTGTTTCACCCCCATCACTATCCGCTGAGGGCCATATGGGCGGCGTGACGGTGAACAAACCTGAATGCGATCCGCAATCCCATGCGCTCTTTTGGGCGGACGTGCGTACGCGTCGCCCAAGCGGGGCGGTCGGTCTCCCTATCCTGAGACCGGCTGTGACGTATGACAGATTGTGCACATCGTTCTGTTCGGTGGCATGATTCAAGATTGACAGCGAACCCTTTATGAAGGAGCGCTGAGCATCCGTGTAGGATGTCCCCACCAGTGCCCACCTCATGCTACCTAGTAGTAGTAATCACGATCTCCTCGAAAGCCATCTGGACTCGGAGTCCTCAGAGCCCGATGATTTATACGACGTGAACTTTCACGAGATCTCTGGTACGCGAATATTACAGCCTGTACCGGATGCATGAAATTGACGCGATGCAGAATGCTTTGCGATGGTTCTGCTTTGAGGAGGGCAAGATGCACCTGAGCGAGGAGAGGTAGAGAGCGCACTATTAGCAGTGGGAGTGAAGGACTTCAGGCCGGAGGCCATCTCGGACACTCCGGTCGAAGATCTGAGTATAGTTTGTCCTTTATATAGTTCTTCACGTTGTTATTGGTCTTCACTATGTTTGGATATAGATCAGCTCCTTCAAGACGATACCGATACAAATTGAGGCCTTTTACGACGAACATCCGGAATATCGAGAAATTGTGGCCATATACCCTAACTCTAGTGCGTCAATCACACCTACCTTCACCCTTGACATCGGTCACATATCAACATGTCAGAGGGTGAAGTGGAGACTTACAATCCCAATGCGTTCAGAGAGCTTCCGCACGAGAAGGTGAAAGGTGGGTCGGCTTCTGCTGAAAATTGAAGTCTCCCATACCGAAGCGATGAAGAGTATGAGGCTCGTCTAGGACGCCACGCAAAAGCGGGGGAGGAGGTAGTCGAGAAATTAGGGGCCGCTCTGCGTGCAGCGGGCGCAGTGGAATTGGCCCGCTTGAAACATCCCCATCGCGTACTGTGTACCTTCGTCCAGAGACTTGCTGCCATCTAAATCAGCGCACAGGGCTTTACATTGAAGATGTCGCCTGCACAGCGGGACAGTTTTCTAGAGCTCTCTCGCAACAGGCGAACAGTATCCGTAATGAGCGGTGAGCCACCCTGATTGATTGGGGCCTGACGACCATAACTCATATCTTGAAGTAGTGAGACAAGGTTAAGACGCATCACACCGAAAGGATCGAGCGAGTGTGCAGTTCTCTTGAAGCAGTGGGCAGAATAACATGCACGCCAGATAGATACAAGCTACACATCTTTGGATCCTTGATACAGACAGGGTACATGGCCCTTTACGATACAGAACGTGATCCGTGTCCAGAAGGGTCGTACATTCCTTGACTCAACGCCTATGAACCTGCCCCTGCCCCCCTGCCCATCCCGCCGAATTGAGATGCCCTAGATCGAGGTCAGAACAGATAGAGAACGTGAGATATGGTATAACGTACAGATCGCGCATAGCGGGGTCTTGCATGAGCTCTTCCATCGGAGGCATTCCGCCACCTGATTGCGCGCGGTTCATCTGGGCATACATCAGGAAAGGTGCCATTCAGAGAGCACTGCATGAGTTGCGCACCATGTTGGCCAGTGCAGGATTATTCATAAGGCGTTCGAGTCCGCCATTCTGCATCATCTGTTGAGCCATCTGCATGAGCATCGGGTTCTGCATCAAGCTCGCGATGTCGGGCATGCCGCCTCCAGCACCACCGGCACCTCCGCCGCCAAACATGCCTGCCAGTGAGCTGAGATCCGGCATGCCTCCCATGCCTGCTGCGGGTGCAGCTGGCGCACTGGGGCTGGCTGTCCTCTCGGGCGAGCGAGAGGTAGATGCGGCGGAGATGTGCGCGCTCGAGTTCGCAAGACCAGTCTGCATGCTCGTGTTGCCGGGCTCGAGCTTCAATCCCTTCTCGAACGCCTCCTTCGCCGCCTCGTAGTCTCCGAGACTGTACTGTGCGTGGCCCAAACGCGAGTATCCCTTGACGAAAGTTGGGTCAAGAGCGATGGCACGCTCCGCGTCCCCGATTGCCGAAAGGTGGTCCTGCTTTGATGAATGTGCGGCCGCGCGGTTCGAGAAGTAGATCGGGTTCGTGTCGTCGTGCTTGATGGCCTCGGTGTAGTGCTCGATTGCTGAGTCGTAGTCACGTGAAGACATAGATGCGTTGCCCTGGCGCTTAGCCGCTTCCGCGAGATTCTTATCCTCCTCGCTCGGTCCCGACTTCGGAGCCGGCGCACTGGGCGCAGAAGTAGATGCCGCAGATCCAGAGAGACGGTCACGAGTCTTCAAATAGAGATCAAAGACCGATGGTAGAGTAGCCGGTGCAATCGTGAGTTTGGACGCCTCGGGCGAGCTGGGATCGACGCCGAACGCTTCGCCGATGCACTGAACGGCGACCTCCAACGACTCCTTATCGTCCTCCTTCACGGTCCCATCCGCCAGTGACGAGTTCAAGAACTCGATTATCGAGAGTACAAGACGCTTTTTCGTGACTTCTGAAGACATGGTGGTCGAGGGGAAAGTTGCGAGGACGCGCGGATTAGAACGTTCGAGATCAATACAGAGACGACCTTCCGCGGGCCGCGCCACAGGTTGACGTGCATCTTGCTCTCGACTTTCATGTCCTTCACTAACCCCAAATACAATTATGGCTTCCTTGCCTTATGCAGATTTACAAAGGCGTACATAAAAGCTTGATATACAAGTCCTCTAGGGGTCTTGTATAAATTGATCCCAAGCTTCTCCGCCAGATACAACACGCCCTGACCCATCCAACCGCGCCGCCTCCGTTGTAGGCTTTCGAACCGCCTGCTCGTGAATTGAGTGCGCGAAAGTCTCCGAGAAGTCGAGGCGAGGGATCCCCTCAACAACGGCCTTGCGGAATTGTGCATCCCACATCTCCGGCGCAACGCCCGACACGTCCAAAGACGTAGCAACTTCCAGCAGGTAACCCTCAGGATCGAAGTCCTTATCCACAGATGGCCACATATGCCTCTCAATGATCTCTGCAACACGACGCTGTCTGTGCTCCGGCCAGCCCGCGCCGGCTGCGAAGACGCGACCGACTGCACCTCCGGCCTCTTCGAAGGCGATAGTGTGCGAGTCGAAATGAGGAGTGACGCCGATGTCATGAAGCATCGTGGCGACGTATAGCAGCTCGCGGTCGAAAGCGATCCCCTTGGACTGCGCGAGGGATGATGCCCATATCCACGATCTCAGGCAGTGATTGACCAGCGCGGGGGTGGAGTATGCGCGAACGACGCTTAACGCAGCCGCGGCCGTCGGAGTGGGAGGATTGATGAGAGCGTCGACATCCACAGGAGCCATGATCTGTCCTTGTACGCATTGAGACTACATAGAGGTGTGCTACCATCCTCTCTCACCGTGCTTGATGATGGTCGTTCTTGGGAGATGGTCAACCGGGTTCGTCTTGCAAACTTTTCTTATAGCGCGGAGCGAATCATGACTCGAACGCGGCCCTCCTCCTGCGGCACAAGCTTCGAGCGGCGGGCTTACATGGTCTGTAGACGTTCATAATTATATTCGTCATATGTGCAATGAACTACGAATCAATACATCGCGCCTATCTATTAGTAGCATCGTGCAACAGGTGCCAGGGCCATAGCGTGGACCTTCGCTCACGCGCTCACGTCCGAACGTACTTCTCCCATACGTCCACCTCCTCATTACTGATCTGACAAGCTCTGATTCCAAGCTTGCGCAATCGCATGCCGAACCAGCTTACGCGACGTTCAAGCATCTGAGTCAAAGCATCTCGGCCGAGTAATTCATGCCCGGTGCGATTTCTGGCGGACGTCGAAAAGTCGACCCTGAAGCAATCCAGCTCTTCTAGAGCTGGGAATATGATTTCGCTGGCGTGCCCGCCACTGGTGAACGAAGACCCCGGTTCGGGCGGGGAGATGGGCACCAGCGCCGCGCAAATGCTTGCAGCTGCTGCACACATCCCGAAGAGTTTGAAGGTGGTGACGGAGCGAAGGCGGAGGAATGTGTCGTAGAACACCGTGCTGTCCCAGGGGGCGTTCGATTCCAACGATATGGAGAGTATGCGTATGTTGTCGAAATGGACATCTCTCAGTATCTCCCGAACAACCATGTCATTCGCATGCCTATCGGTACAGATGTCAAGGACAACGACGGGCTCCGTGAATCGTACGCGTGCTGTGGTATCTTGATAACCGGGGTCGCTGTACGTTGACTGGTGCGCCCCCTTCCCCAGCTTGATGACGACGTTCTTGCCCGGTTCTCGAGATTCTGAGAATGAGACGTCGATCGAAGAGAAGTTGGGGAGCGGGGACGCAAGAACGCATCGTCTCAGGAGATCCGCGATCAAGGCAATGGGCTGGTTCCTCTCCATGGCACATATTGACAATATCGCAGTTGGCGGCATGCGAAGTCTTGACCACAGGTGCCAGCATGAGTCGTCATGGCTCGCTAGTCGCAGCGCTCGAAGATTGAGCAAAGATACGGTATTAGAGCCGTGGCTAAACGTCAACGAATCGACACTTCCGGCAGGCGGATATATCTCTAGGACAAGCGTCTCAAGTGCTGGCATCTGCTGCAAAGTACGCAAGACAGTAGAAAGAGTTGGATGTGCGGGCGAAGGTTGGTGGTTCCGAAACCGGCGAGGGCGAACATCGTGCCGGAATGTCTTGAGTAGTGCAGAACCGGTATCCCACGGAAATCGCACACCGACAAGAGTGAGCTCCCGCAAACGGGGAGCGACGTCTGAGAGAAAGTTCGGTGGAAGCTCCGGTGGGTCATCATAGGCGTCCTTTGGCTTTATGAGGAGGGTCTCGAGCATAGGTAATGACCCGATGAGGCAAGCGACCGCATCACATGTATCGGCACGGTTAAGCCCTGTCAGCACAAGGGTGTGTATATGGTGCCGGTGTCCATGAATAAGGCGGAAGTGGAAGGGAGAGGCGTTGTACTGGTTGAATCCATCGATCTTGAGGGGCGCGTCCTTCGCCCGGTCGAGAAAGACCTCCCATGGTGGTCGCATATCCGGTGATAAGCGCGTCCATAGCGACGGAGTGCTGATGGCTGTCCTTCTCCATCTACGACATACGTGCGTAACAGCCGTCCAACTCCAGGCCTTGGCTCTACGTTCGCCTGTAAAGGCCGACTTCGCCGCATCGGGGTAAGCCAAGAAAGAGAACACATGAGCGAGCAGTTCGGGAGGCAGAAGGAACGGCAGCGTGAGTTCGTTCAGGCGCTCTTTCACAGCTGATAGTGAGTTGAGTAGTCCGTTTACGCCAGATTCAAGGGATACGCGTAAATCTTCGGCATCTACAGCAGACGGCTTTCGTCGCGATAGGGTCTCAAGCCATTGTTGGGCAGCGGTTCTGCGAGCAATCGCTCAACGATATAATTTTGTTCAAGGGAAATTGACATACTCTAGGGCATGCATCCCGCGATATAACTCGCGTACAGTTACAGTCAGAAGTATCCCCGGGAGCGATAGGGCGGAATAAGTACGTGGGGCCTGAGGGGAGTCAACCGTAGTCTGTGGATGATGGTGGTTGGACTCGGCCGTGCGATATTGCACGTTGCGCCGCGGTACTAACCGGGCCGCAGCCATCTCACGATGAAATGTTCGGATTTCCGAGCTGATTTCGTTCAACGTAGAGCTGTATCAGTTCAAGGTGTACAGTATACATGCGCCACAGCATATGAGGTCTGGCTACGGTACACGAGTCCCCTTTTCCTACACCATATTCTCCGCTCACGCCCAAACACCCTCGGAAGCACTGGGACTTGGCTCGCTGCTCTCTTGTGTCGGTTCGGCGATTATTGGATCCACAGCGTACTCTTGCCATCTCTCCACGTGTTCTTCCCATCCCGTACATGACGTTAATATCATTCTCTGGAGTATCGTCCCGAGTTTTTCCCAACGGGACCAGAATATGCCGGTCAAAGAGGCGTAAGGCTCGACGGTGTGCCCAGCCTCCCACGGAGGGAACGACACGCAGGTGAAGTGTAGCTCTGTCAGCTCCGGGAATAGGACGGTACTTGCAGCGCTTCCCGGCGCTACAGTAGGACCATCTGGAGTGATTTCTCTGGGGATCAGAGCTGCACAGATGTACATGGCCTCTTCTCCGAGAAGGTGGAGATAGGTCACGGATTGGAACTTGTTGAAGATCTTCCAGACGGTATCTCGATCCCATTTGTCCAAGAGGCTCGCGTGTAGTTCGAGACCAGAGATAGAGTTTGGAGATATACGAGCGAGAGCTCTCTCCAGTTTTGATGTCGTAGACAGCGTACCAAGACTCATCTTGAGAAAGGGGGCACTGGTATTCAACTCGCCCCCAACCTCCTCGACATCTGCCTCATACATATCCTGCACCTCGTGAAGCTGCATCACCGCGCTCCTATCACGGTGGTTCTGAGGGTGATGGGTTGAGATAGACATGAGATAGGAGCCGCTGGTGTTTACGAGATATGCCTCAAAGTAGTTCGCGATGGGTGGATCTTCGAGTGTCAACATTCCCCGGCTCTGTATCTCAACACAAGTGTACAATGGGATAGGAAGACGTGACAGTATCTGCAGGCACTCCCGTGAATCTGTGCGTATACAAAGGCGCTCAAGAAGAGGCAGGTGGAACGAGCTTTCGAGGCTGGAGAGTTTCCGTGGCAATAGCTTACTGAGATGCCTCAAGTGGAGGTCTTCGCCAGGAGGCAAGCGCATATGATCCATGCCGTTGCATTCATCGTCGTGCGTGGCGCGAGGAAGCACGGGATACCCGTGATAGGAAAGGTTTGCAAGGAAGGGCAAGAACATTCCGGCGGGAATTTCGACGCCGATAAGTGTTAAAGTCTGCAAAGACGCAGAAACTCCTGAGAAGAAGTTGAAGGGTAGGTTCAGTCTTTCGAACGAGCCGTGTTCAATATAGAGAGTTTGGATGTGCCATGGGAATTTCGCCTTGTAGGCAGGAGCGGTGAATAGCCGCAGTAAGTCGCACTTGGGGACGTCTCGAAGTTTTAGCTCCCCGATCCGGGGTCGAAGCTCCATGAGTGATGATACGCGCGACGAAATGGTCGGCGCGTTATGCTCGACAATTCGGCAGTGGATGGTTAAGAGGGAGGTCCCGGAGCGCTCAAGAAATAGGCTCCACGCCTTGTCTGGCATGTCAAGAAAGAGATTGGTCCATAAAAAGGAGGTATTCAGCGCGATTGCCCGCCATCGTCTATTGACTTGCGAGAATACGATCGGCCTATAACAGGCGGGGGGATGATTATATGAAGGAGTCCGATAGGAATATGGTCGATCCTGAGAGATGGGTAGAAAGGAGAACCAGAAGATGTGTTCCAGCATTTCAGTCGGTAAGACAGCTGTCGAATCTTGGGTAGACCTGCCGAGTTGATTTAAGCCACGATCCTAGTAGTGAGCAGTGGTAAACGCACATCTCGATTTATGTACCACAACGTATTGATTCCGTGAACGAAGAAAGGGGCAGTACTCAGATGATGGTCGCGGATAAGCGCATCGCGCGCGTGGGCAAATTCTTAGTAATGTTGCCAACTAGCATGTTATCTCTCGCGATAACCCTTATCAAGTCGATGCAGATGCGTCAATCAGGGGTTATCGAATACGATTACTGCAGCCAGATTAATTGATTGTTCATGCATGTAGTCCTATCGCCTATCCGAGACCATGATCATATACTGAGCTTGAGAACGTCGATAACTTAAATATTCATCCACCATCGCAACCTGCTCAGATGGTGCGATTCATACAAGGCGACTGGCAATGATCGATTGCAACCATTTCTTGATGGAAAACAGGATGGCGTCGCATCGACGTCCGGCCATGTATATAATCGGATGAGTGGCTTCAATGTTGATACTGTAACAGCGATGGGAATGCCAGCCGCGTTTCTCCGATCTAGCCATCGATCGCACTTCGAACTCTTCAGTAGAGCAAGTATGCATCATCCTGGCTTCACTCCGCTCGTTCAACCCATTCAACCACTTCCCTGAATCTCCACTGATCCACATGTTCCTCCCAACCTCGGTTGCGTCGGAGTACCAACTCCAGATGGCCTGATCCAAGGCTGTTGCGATGTTCAAGCGTCCTCCGGAGCGCGTCTTTGACTTGCGCGGAAATCCTGCTGAACATGATGTACGTGGTGGGGCTCGACGATACTGCACGAAGCTTGGTCAGGGCCGGAAACAACGATATGTCCTTCGGTTTCGTCTCCGGGAAGGATGAAGGCTCGAGGGCCGCATAAACGACGCCACTATCAGTCTGCAGGTGCGTCACGGATCGCAGTGGAAGGAGAAGCTCGCGGACTTTCTCGTAATCCCAGTTGATACCGCTGCCCACATCCACGCGCAGTTCCTGGATGGATTTGACGGGTAAGACCGCCAACAGCCGTTTCCAAAGGGCCTCTGCTGAGCCAGTGCAGAGGCCCAGCTCCAGAGAAGGCTGTACGCGGGTGGAGCATTTCTGTTCGCACTCCCCCAAGCGTTCAACGTGTCTCCCACGCAGTCGAAAGTTCATGTTCTCGACACCGCGAGAGACAGAGTGCGTGAACAGCCCTAAAAAGTGCGGCAGCGGCGACAAAGCCAGATGCGATTGGAGCGTAGAGATCATGAGCGTGACCACTCCCGCCGATAACTGAGTGGAACGAACATGGATATGGGCGGACGAGGGTACGCGCAAGCACGACCAGAGGTACCATGCCGTGTCATTCCTGCTCTCAATGACTAGTACCTCGATGTCCGACCATGAGACTACTTCGCCGAGATGAGCACCAATGGGAAGCTGTGACTCGGACAAAGTCATCACCAAGCGGAGAGTTCGCAGAGCTGGCATCTTGCTCAAGGTGAGTGTGATATCTGAGAAGCTTGTTGCGACTCTCTGAGCGGTCGGGGGACCGTCATCGAATAGAAAGGTTCGAAGGCTCGGGAGTGACGAAGGAAGAGCTTCGCAAGGAAAGTCGACAGCGGACAGTCTCAGCTCCCGCAAGTGTGGCGTAATGTGTGATAGGAAGGCGGACGGTAGACGAGGGACGGGGAAATCGTATTGGCATGTTAAGATAGACATAGTGACGAGATTCGGCAATGTATCGATAAGTCCGTTGAATAGTTGAGCGAAGGATTGTGGGGACAATTTGGAGAGGCTAAGCTCCTGGATTCGATGCCGATGTTGACATATGGACGGGAGAAACATAGGGTCGTATAACAGGTCGCTCGTGTCGATACGGCCTTCGATGGTGAGCAAGGCGCCCTTCGATCTTTTGAGGAATACATCGTACGCCGGCCCCATGGCGGGGGATAATCGTGTCCATAATGTCGGCGTTAAGAGAGCCGCGGTGCGCCATCGACGACAGGTATGAGTGACGGTCACCCAGCCTAATCTCAGGTCGAGATCCGCATCGAAGTTGAGAGGATATACTTCGGCGAGGAAGGAGAAAATGTGCGCCAATAGTTCCAGTGGAAGGATCGTCGTCCAGTCGCGCGTTCGGAAACTACGACAGCGTCAGCGTAAGTTCAATATGAAGACACTGGTACGCACTCCAGAAGCATGATATTTGTATTCTCCGTCATCCTACTTCGTTATCCGATCGCCGCACGCGGAGGTGACCGCTGTCAGAGGTGAGAGTTGTGGAGATGATGATGGTGGTCCAGAAAAGACGCGCGCGAGCTTCAGTTTGCGCCTTGCTCGCAACGACCACTGGTTTTGTCTCCCTTCGCAAACGGAAATGATGCGGTGGAGAGAGAAGAGATGCCAATTTGCTTACTTGTTCGGCTACTATTTACCACACGGATCCCAGACCACCGACGGTACTCATAGTGGCTGGCGCCCAGCTGATAATTCGATTCAACGAAGTACACTAGTCTTGTACTGTAATCTGTATATCGTAGCGATTCCACGCATCCAAATATCCTTCCCACGCTGTACAAGAATCAACCACCAGATTCTGTACATTCGACCCGGAACCCGTACGTATTGCGAGTACACGAGACAGAACCTCGTGAGCCGGAATGATCGCCCCGTCATACTCGACGGGCGCAACGGCGTTGAAATCCACACCTACACAGCGCAACTCGGCTAGCGCAGGAAGTGGCATTGCTCGGCTCTGTGCCATTCCTCCGTCGTAGGGTTGACCAGGTTCGAGCAGGTAGCAGATGGTCCCCGGGAGTGCTCCCCCCAGCTTCAAGTGAGTCACTTCCTGAGCACGAAGGAGCAACTTGCGTATGAGTACGAGAGCCCAAGCACACTCAACCCCGACACTTAATGTCACATCGAGAGCGACGTCTGGGCTGCTCGTTATGTGTAGTCTGAATGCTGTTGACTGTAGGGAGGGAGCGGACGAAAACACCTTCAAAGCGGGCCAGTCATACTCGCCGCAATCTGACCCCTCATCATCGCGTTCCGGCGGCGCTCTCAGTTGCACTGTAAGGCGCCGACCTTGCTCCAAATGAACAGAAGCATCTCGTAAAGACGCAAATGTCTCGGCCGGTATCATCGAGATATGCGTAAACAGCATACCCAGCATGAGTCCCTCCGTTTCCTCTGTATTGGGCCCGCCCCCTGATTGAATATTGACGTGTGCGACAGACGGTAGATGAAGGCCCGACCAGATGTACCAACATGTGTCGTCGCGGCGCGTCTCGAGCACGAGCTCTTCTAGATGATAGAGTGTCGCAGGTTGCCTGACGGGAGCATCTTGCGGGTTCCTTATCGGATGCGACATCCTCAGGCGGAGGGCTCGGAGAGCAGGCATCTGTCCTAGTGTTCCCAGGATGCCGGCTACACTGGCGATGGAGGAGTTGTCTGCGGAGTGTGACCGCGAGGCCGACTGGTAGTCAAACTTCGTGAGAGATGTCGAGCCCGTATCGCGGGGGAAGTCGACACCGACGAGACGCAACTCGCGCAGTCGGGGGAGTGCTTTGGAGATGAAGTCCAGCGGCAAAATGGGCAATGGCTTGCCAACGGGTGCCGCACAGTGAATGGATAGGACGGTCAACTGGATGAGGCGCTGTGTAAGGCCGGTCTTGAGAAGGTCGAAGTCGTCCAGTGAAAGGCCGCCGATACGGAGTTCCCGAAGACGATGTTGGTGCGTCAGGACGGAGGCGATGCGCGCGGACTTCGTTTCAGTACTAAGGTGCTTGAACGAGCATTCGACGGACAAGGGAGCATTCTTGGAACGCTCGAGAAATATGTCCCATGGCTGTTTTGTGCTCGGGACTAGCTGGGTCCATAAGGTCGGCGATTCAAGGGCGACCGCATGCCATCGCCTACAGACGTGCGTGATAGATATCCAGTCTAGCGGTTGAAGCGGAGACGTTATATCGACCCCGCGGCTATCGTGCTCCTCGGCAAGTAGAGTTATTAGGGCGGCGAATATGTCTGTCAAGAGTTCGGGTGGGAGCAATTTTGTCAGGTCTTCAGCATCAACTGTGGCCCTGCTAGGAGGGTAATATTAGCGACCCATCTCGGCGAAGAGAGCATGCAACGTACGGCGAGTGTACCATCTGGTATGGTACAGTAGCAGACATCTCGCTTTAGACGAGATGGGGAATGGCTTGTGGTGGTGGTTAAGAGGAAGGTTGGTGTGGTTGATCCAACCTGATTTCAGAACATGTTCACATCACGGGATATTGCGCGCGCAGGGCGATACAAGCAAGCAAGCGCCACAGCGCGTTTTAGCAGAATATAACAACAGTATCACATGTATAAAAGACAGCCCAACCATCTCGTAAGGTTCTCCTACGCGGCCTTGCCCCAAATCCTGACGTCCCTGCCAGTGACCCCCCACAGGCTTTGACTCTTAGCACCCCAGGCCACGGCAACTGCTTCTCCGCCTTCCTCCCAGTGACCCAACTCATCCCAGCTCTTATGTGCCCAAGCACGCACACCGCCACTCGTAGCAGCGGCGATCAGCTGCGCACCATAGTCGTACGCAACGTCGTGCGTCTTGACGCCCTCGCCCAGGTCCCAGGTATGCGCGAGGTTCTGCTTGCGCAAATCCCATATACCGAGCTCGTGCGGGCCGCTCGACGCCGCGAGGGAGTATCCGTTCTCGGCGAAGCTCAATGCCGGAACCGTGAAACCAGTTCCGGCCGCATGCGCGGGCGAGGACAGCGAGGCGGCGAGTGAGCCAGAGCGGAAGTCGAATACGCGTACAGCGCCGCTTGTCGTGCCAAGTGTCAAGAGAGTGCCATCGGGGTGGACCGCAAGTCCGCTGTACTTCTCGCCCTCTTCTGCCGGTGCGGAGCGGAACAGGCTCTGCATGGTCGTTAGGTCAGCGACGCTGTATGTGCCGTCGAGACTAGCGAGTGCCAGCAAAGTGCGTGTAGGGTGTACGGCAAGACCAGTCACTTCGCCTGAGTGTGTACGGAGAGTACCGCGGGGCGCGTATTCGCCGCTGGCAGCATCCAAACTCCATATACGCGCGAGCTTGTCCGCACCAGCCGAGAGGAGTAATGTAGACTCGCTGGATCCAAGGGCCTCACGGAGGGCGACGCGAGTGACGCGTTTGGCGTGTCCCTTGAGGGTCGTGAGGACCTTGTCGCTGTCCTTGTCGTACAGCTGGACAACACCGTCGTTGCCACCGCTAAGGAACGTCCCGGGCTTCTCAGCGCTGAGTGCGATGCTTGTCACCCCGGCTGGCGAGGCGCTGTGCAGGCTGGGAACAACGCCTGTCGAGGTGAACTTGGAAACGTCGGCCGGTTTTGCGTGGTCTGCGGGTGCCTTGCGCTTCTTGCGGGTCGCGGAAAGCGCGGTGAAGGTCTCGTTGATTCGCTCCAAGACGGCCGGAGAGAAGGGCTCGTCAGAGGCCTTCTCAGGCTGGTCTTCCATTTCAACATCTCCCCCAGCAGGCGCAGTCGGTTGAAGACCCATAGACGCCTGTACAGATGCCAATGCTCTACAAATAACACGAGATAATTAGAGATAGACCAAGCATTGTAAGATGAAGTCACGCACTCTCTGGCAGCGTCGCGTTCACGCATCAAACGCGCAACAACGCGTGAGGCAGCATCCTGAGCATACAAGGCGTAGGATAACTCCTGACGCGTACTATGGAACTGCTGCTTGAGCGTGAAGGTTTCGAGGACCATCGCGTCCCATTCATTCTGCAGCGCGTTCAACAGTGCTGGGATACTGCTATGCGTGGGAGGACGCGGCGCGGTTGCGTTCGGACCTGCAAGGGTGCACATTCAGAAAGTGCGCAGCGATACGGAAAAGGATAACATACTGGCTTTCACGGAGACCAGGTCACCCTCCTCAAGCTTCTCGCCGGTGACGGGGTCCGTGCCATTTTCTTGAATATATTTCAGAATTAGTCGGCGTTCGTAGACGTGCCCCGACTTGGACGAGATGACGGGGTCTTGAGGAGGTTCGCCGGAGATTGCGCAGAAGAACATGGCCGTCTGACTTCAACGTTGAACAACGCTAGACGCGTCGCCACTTTGCGAAGGCGAGGCGTTCCAAAAACGGAAGTTATGGCCGAATATGGACGCGCTTCACGCGACCAGCTTGACCGCCATCAGTCCTTGCTTGTCGCCAGCACACCCTCAGCATACTCTTTCGTCATTGACTATGCAAGAACTTGCCACAGATAATCCTTTGAGGTTGGTCTGCGTAAATGGTTTCTCTCTGCACTGACTGAATCAACGCTACTAGAGGGGTTCAACCTCAAGACCGGACATCTGTACTCCCAGCTGAATCACTCGCGCACATTCTTTCATACCTTATTCGACTCTATCCTACACCCCTGCAGCGTGCACAGCGCTCAAAGAAGTTGAAGACGAGCCAAGTACGGATACCAGATTGGCTCTCCGTTACTCACGTCTGCCAACGATGGCGCACGATCGCTTTGAGTACGCCTTCGTTATGGTGCCGAATCGTGCCAAACGCGGAAAAGTCGTGGGATATATTCATCCAACGATCAGGATCTGCTATGCTATCTATCGACGGCTGGTGTCAATTCTTACTCGAACCCGACATCATGTCTTCGCGCATAACATCAATCCTTGGATTACAAAATCGTATACAAAAACTCGACCTCCGTGGCATGTTGCAACACAATCTGGACGCCCTGATGACAGGCTTCGCTCAGCCTTTACCGCACATGACAAGCCTCTGCATCGAATGTCGGCCTCCTCCGCGCGGACGATCACTGGCGGATTTTCCGCCAAACATCCTTTCCACTATGCTTCCCAACTTATCTGAGTTGAGATTGTACGGCATAGACTTTCCTCGCGAGACCCACCTGTCGTCACTCCAATTCTTTGAATACCAATACGCTCCGCGCGGATATCCAACGTTCGTGATGCTTCCCCATTTCGACATTTCCGTTGTCGTCAACACCTTACGTGGGATGCCAGCCCTTCGCACTCTATGGCTACATCTTAAAGTCCTGAAAGAAGCACCCTTCCCTTTCGATCCCATGCCCTTCGCGTTACAACATCTCGAAGACTTGGTCTTGAGGACCGGCGACGCCCAGGGCTGGCGAATCTGGTCCTTGCTACAACTTCCGTCACATGCCGAAGTCGATATCGCTTGCACAAGGAACACGGGATCCGGGGCAGGAGACCTTATGGCCTCCGCTATCTTGTTACATCTCTCCACGAGTTCCCCTTTACGGGCGCTGTCGATCACAGTTGGCCCGAAGTACCGTGATACCGACTATGAGAGGCTTACTTTGACTCTCAACGGTCCTGAAGGGATATGTGAAGAGGCCGAAGACCGCTCGACACTTCCCTGCCAGAAGCCTTCCGTGACGATCAATACGGAAACCCCATCCGGAACAGCCCTAGTCAAACTTCTTTTGGCGCGGCTTCCGTTGTGCTCGATCTCTACCTTGACTTTTGATGTCAAGTTTGATGACCAATGGGATCTTCGTGCGATACGAGACGCAATCCTTCCCGCCCAATCACTGAAGAGCCTGGAGCTCGGCAAAGACATCGACATCGCCGAAGCGATCCTGGTAGCTCTTAAAACCCGCAGCGTCGTGGAACGGCTCGATGTGGGCGACTCAGCGATGGCGTTATTCCCTGCGCTCGCTCGACTGCAATACAACTCCGCGAACAACTCTACCACCGCTGTCGAGCACGCGTTCCGTGTTCGCCGCGCTATCGGGCCCGATACCACATCTTTCAGACTGGTCCATCGGTCGGACGAGGATTGGGAGGGTAGTGCGAGTATGTTGAGGAGCTTGGGCTTGGACTTTGCCGCTGAGTGAAGTCGTCACGATACATTGCGCACGGTCTCGTTTGTATACTCGAGTATTCCCGCGTCCCGCGGGGCCAACCTTGCTCATACAATAGGGTATTTCTGCATGTCTTGGGCGCCGTGCGCATGAGAGCCTGTGCACAGTGTCTCAACCTAGCCCGTCCCGGGCGGCAACCAGGCGGCGAGAGCGCTTCATCTTATCGAAATCGAGGATCTTATCTGGCTCATGTAAGTGATTCCCACGGGTGTCATGGCGATTCGAGCTTCATTTCGGGGGTTGAGGACCTTGCTTCGCAAGGTAATACCTCTATGCCTCTTTCTGTATAGAGATGTAGCGACTTGTCTGTAGCGCAACGTGTTGCTTCGGTTCAGGTGTCTCTCTACTAAGGGCAAGTGGTTCACCATTTGTACGGACAAGTCTGCGAGAAACCGGCAAGACTTGTATCTTTGATGGAGTGCAAGTGCAAGCATTGACTCGGCCCGGGCCCCGCACCATCCAAAAAATGCCAAAAGCGGAAATTCCGTGAAGATCAGAGCTTCCACGCTGCCTCGAGCGGTTTTATTGCCGCAACAATCTTTGCAGCCCTCGCGTCTCACAAGACTTCAAAGCATCACATAAGTGGCCTATCAACGGCCTTGTTTCCTGCGCTCGCTTGAGTATATCATAATTCAGCGAAATCACACTCTCCCACCGTACGAACGGGAAGAAGACCAGACTACGATCTCGACTTATACGTCGCGCGGTGGGATCAGATACCACATCGTTCCAGTTGACTCATCGGACGTACGCGGGTTGCGGAGCAAGTGAGGGCATACATATTGCGAAACTGGGGCTTGGATCTCGTCGAATCTTGCTGAGCGAGGTCGTCACCACCATTTTGCACCACGAATCTACCCACTTCCTTCAAGATACAGATGTAAGGCGTTAAGCCGTGCCATTCATGAAGCCGTATGCACATCAAGGTAAAAATACAGCGGCGCAGTCAGAGACGATCGGATCAGGTCGTAGAGGGGGGAGGTAAGGTGACGCGGTATCGTGCCCAAGGGGATGAAGAGATGAAGGTAACATGTCAGAGGCGAAGTGAGGTGTCATGGAGCAGGAGGTGTCCTTCCAGAGGCGTGGTAGTACAGTATGAAAGCAAACAACATGTATACAAGGCGGAGAGATGAATGATGAGTCTATGACCATTGACTAGGTCCGAAGATCTCGCCTGGCGCGAGCAACTTGAGCGGTGTTCCGAGTGCATCGGCAGTCGTCTGCCAGAAGTCGTTACCCCACCAGCTCACGACGATGCTTCCCTCCTTCGGCAATTGCAAGCAGAAGAAGATGACGACCATCGCAATGATCACACCGGCGTCCAATCCGGAGGATAGCAAGTAGTTGTAGCGCATCCACCAGCGGAAGTGACGGCGGCGGATGAACCATTGGAAGATGGCGCCGACAAGGAAGAAGGATGCGAAGTTGATGCCGGTAGCGGGCGGGACGATGACGAGCGTGCCGATTGCGAGGGGCGCGTGGATGTAGCGGAAAATGGAGCGCGGGTAGCGGCGTGCGAGCAGGTAGAAGGGGATCGGGAGTACCGTTCCGATGAGGAAGAACCAGAGCACCGGGTAGTACCTGGGAGATGATCAATATGGAGAGCTTCAGTTGAAAGGAATGAAGGCTACGCACGTCGAGCCAGGGCCAAATACGCGCTTAGGGCCGATGTTACCCCACAATAGCGCGGAGCTCTCGAAGACGCTCGTCAGCGGGCAGTTGAACATCTGCGGTTGATCCGGGTCACAGATGTCGTTGATGTTGTACAGCGCCCAAGTCTGCGCGCCGACACTAGCGAAGACACCGACGACCGCAGCGAACACCTGGGCGGAGAACATCGCACGCGGAGGCACCTTCAGGTAGTGGCCCATCTTGGCGTCACCGGTGAACATGAGTGCCTGATAGGTGACTGAGTATGTAAGCGTCTTGAAGACCATGTTCGCGACGGGGTTTCCAGGGACCATGAAGCCTGCCATGAGCTCCGCAAGAACGCTGAGATCGATAAGCTGGTTCGAGACGGCGTTGAGGATTCCCATGGGCAGAATGAAGATGATGCCGACAAGCACGCCAACAATGTATGCCCAGACCGGAAGACCGGTGTGCGCGACCTCGTTGCCGACGATGCCGAGCGCGAAGGCGATCACGCCGAGAGCGCCGTACCACCAGCGAGGGACCTCAGAGTAGTTCGCCATGAGACGCGAGTGAACATCAGGCACGTTGCGCAAAGTGGAGCGGAACTGGCGCGCAAGATCCTTACGATACCACACTGTCAAAGCATGTCAGCGCGACGCTAGTTGGTGCAGGTATCTAGACGTACAGAAAGTGTGGACGATGAGGCCACCGAAGACGGCGAAGGAGCAGCCCCAGGTGAGCGCCGAGACGATGGGCATGAACATAGGGCTGTACTGCTGGTACTTGACCTCGTCGAAGAGGTTGTTCGTCAAGATCGCCGAGGCGTTGTAGTAGTTGCCCGTGTTGTCGTACGTCGCAGCGCCGGAGATAGGCATGAACTGCGCATGCCAAACGTTCTTCGCCCACATGATGGGTGCGACGAACCAGATCATGATGACGAATGCGACGAAGACGTTGAGCTGAGCCCAGAACTAGACATGGGACGTTAGAAGACGGAGAGAGCCATGTAGACGTGGACGTACCGGGACAACAAGCGGCGAGTTGAAGAACGTGATCTGCGACCAGTCGAAGGTGAGCAGACCCATGCCCAGTCCGGAGACGGTGCCGAACAGCGAGTTGACGACGATGTTTTCCGGTGCGATCCAGCACGGCCAATTGAAGTAGCTGAGCGCGGTGAAGAGGTATCCCGGGATGAAGTACCACACAAAGCTGCCGAGCATGACGAAGCCGAAGAAGCGGGCGCGGGTGACGCGGTGACCGACCTCCTTGAGACCCCAGGTCTTGTGAAGACCGCCGAGTAGAGCAGTGCGTACGAGAATACCGGGCCAGATCATGGACGCAGGCCAGACAAGGAACTGGCGGACGAAACCGGAAGCGCCGAAGCCGATGAGCTGCACTGCGAGCGAAAGCGCGAGTTGCTGTCCAAACGGCCACGCGTTGTTGAAGAACGCGAACTCGACGTTGACGACGTCCGAGACGTTCGATGCGTTAATGACTACGTTGCCCATCATCGTGATGAGAGCGTGCTCCTTGATCGAGAAGGGACCGGGGTTGAGGGAGGCGCGGAAGCCAAAGATGTTGATGCGCCATGCGGGGAGGACTCGCGCGCAGAAGAGGCCGATGGGGTACACAGCGACTTGGATGAGTAGCGCGTTGATCAAAACAAATGGATCTGAAGGAGGATCAGAATGCGATCACGCGGTGCGTGTAAGAATACGCACAGCGGAACTGGATGAAAGAGTTGTATCCGGATACAATCACGGTGACGAAGAAGCCGATAATCCAGCTGCGCGAGCAATCAGACGGGGGCTCAAAGGATGTAGTAAGAGCACTCACGCCCGAATAGTGCTTGCAGGCATGTTGGGGTCGTCGACATTGGATACTGCAGCACGAACTTCAGGGTAAGGCGAGTCACTGCAATCGGATAAGAAAGGGGCTGATGAGCATAACTGTTGGCAACGCACTCTTGGTACTCCTCGCCCGCAAAATCGCCCTTGGAGCTTCCAGCAGGCCAGGAGGACGAGAGCTGGGACTCGGTCTCCATGTCAGTTGTGCCGACAAAGCTGGAGCGTTTTTCCGAGAAACCCTTGGTGCCCGTCTCGCGGTCGGTGAAGTATGTGCTTGAGTACGACTGAGCGTCGAAGTCGTAGTTGGGGTCGTTGAAGTGCTCCATGAGCGACTGGTCGTCAATGTCGGAAGGAACATCTGGCATCGACCTGCGGTGCCGCAGCTCCGCTACAGCTTCGCGGTTATCGTACTCCATCGTCGTCGAAGAAGGGTGAAGAGAGAGAGAAGGGAGGCACGAGTACTGGTCTCGAGTGTGCCGGCTGGGGATGGAGAGCACGGTGAAGAGAATTGGGCACAGCATGCGCCTAGATATATGCGCGCCCTTGAACAATTGGGACCAGTGCGCCGTTCAAGGCACGGATCCAGCTCACATCGGGAGCAGCGTCGGCGGGGACATGTACAAAGACAATTGAGACAGGCGCTTGGCCACGCGCGGACTGCCATATAGCATGCGAGATGCGCTCAGGGTATTGTAAGTAAGCTCGCAGAGACGTACATGGCCTTCCAAGCTTTCCATCAGGGAAGTGGCAGAACAAAAGGCGATATCAGGGCGCGCGACCGGGCCTCGCACGCTTCGCTCGAAGTACGGACGATCACCGCGATTTACTCTGATGCCTGGTTTTGACTTTCCATAAAAGAGGAAGCATAGCGGACGCGTATACAATAAGCTCGACAGCCAGCGGATGGAAGGGCAAGACAAGGAATGAACCGGGACACGTCGCTCGGCGCCTCGGTCCGCTTCTTCGGCGTCTCCCGCGAGTCCGGGCCCGCGGATCGACCACCCTGCTTCTGCCGCTCATGCCGCTACAGATTGGTGCAATGGTTTCGCAATCCCGGTTTCCCGACGATAGTAGGTCCACAGTGTGGCCAGATGACTATATGTGGTGTGGATTCGTGTGACGATGACGCGCCAACATGCTCTGTTGCTCGCGCCATCGCACGTCTTTGCGGATTACTGTAGGTAGAAAAGGCTGCGCCAGAGATGAGATAACGGGTACCGATATCTCGTCGTACATCGAGCTTCGCAATGGCTACCGAAACCATCACACAGGCTGTTTCTAGCCTTACTCTTCGTGGCGCATCACCCAACTCTAACCAGGCGTCCGGCCAAGAGAACCAGACTGAGGCCCCGTACCGCTATGCGCATCTGTTGCCTCACTTCTCGCCCGCCACCTACCCTCCTCTTGAACCGTTCGAGCATCAGGATCCGGGTCACCGCGCACTGAACCACCCTAACCCGCGCTCATTCCTCGACGGAGCCGAATCTGTGGTTGAGTTGACCCCTCGCCTGGGTCTCGAGGTGCGCGGCGTGAGTCTCGCTGCCCTGGACTCCAATGGTCGGGACCAGCTCGCACTCGAGGTACGTAAATCTACAAGTATTTGCGGACTGCACTGACGGGCATACTCCAGGTTGCCCGCCGTGGTTTGGTCGTCTTCCGCGGTCAACAGGACTTCATCGACGCCGGCCCTGAAGCATACCTTGAATGGGGTCGGTACTTCGGAAGGTGCGTGCCTTCCTCTGTTCAGATACTTCCGTGTACTCATCCGTCGCTAGGCCGCATATACATCCGACATCTGGCCATCCAGAGAACTACCCGGAACTGCACTTGGTCTACAAGTATGTCTCACCTATAACCTGAATTAAGCCACAAAGTTGAAACGGTATCCAGGGACGCCAACGCCACCTTCAACTTTGAGCGCGACGACAGCATCAGTAGCACTCTGTGGCACTCGGACGTGTCATACGAGCTTCAGCCGCCCGGTCTCACGACCTTCTTCCTCCTCTCGCAACCTTCGACGGGCGGCGACACGCTCTTTGTACGTTGTCTTGTTCTTCGCTCGTTGATTGTTGCTGAAGCACCCGTGCAGACATCGCAGGTAGCTGCCCTGAAGAGGCTTTCGCCCCAGTTTGTCGCTTTCCTGCGCACTCTTAAGGCCGTCCACTCTGGTGTCGAGCAGGCTAACTTCTCGCGGGCCGGAAAGCGCGGCGGTGTTGTGCGCCGCGAGCCTGTTGAGAGTGCGCACATTGATCACTTGTATGCGTATACTATCGCTGATCATTGTCTTGCGCCAGACGTTCACCCAGTCGTTCGTCGTCACCCCGTAACGGGCGACGAGGCGCTCTACGTCAACCGTCAGTTCACAAGGCGCATCGTAGGCCTCAAGAAGGAAGAGAGCGATGCTATCCTCAACTTGCTGTACGACCACATCGACAGAAGCGGTGATAACCAGACCCGTCTCAAGTGGGAGCCGTACACCGTGGCAGTCTGGGACAACCGGGTAACAGCACACGTAAGTAGTGCATTTCCAGACGGAAGGTAGCCCACTGACGCGTTCGTCATCTAGTCTGCCATCGTCGACTACGGCGAGTCGAAGGAGCGTCGCCACGGCGCCCGTATTGCCCCACAGGCAGAGCGCCCCATTCCTGCCCAGGATGGTCTGGAGCTGTGAGCCTTCGCGGATAGCATAGCTAAAAGCAAAAACATATGTATATTGTTGTAGGTTGTAGCATATGGAGCGGAGTACATGTTCGTGTGGAGACTGCGTGTATGTATGGTGCCCTCTTGCTCTTCACGCTCAGAAGATCAACGAAAGATACCTATAAACGGTCAGAGGCATGTCAACATGAGGGGTTAAGCATGAAACGCACCCAGCAATCATCACCAGTCCGCCCATGGGTGTAATGGGGCCCAAGCCCTTGAATCGGTCGCGATCCAGTGTGAGAGCCCAGATGGAGCTCGAGAATATAAGTCCACCGAGAGCAATTGCTGGTCCAGCGAACCTATGAGTGGCAAAGCGAGGGTGTGACGAGACGAGCAATAGACCAAGCCCGTTGAAGATCTTGTTCAAAGGGAACGAATCAGCACCGCATCATGATGGAGGAAACCAAGGTTGCTTCTGTACGCACAGCGTAATGAGACGCTGTATTGAATGCGCTAATCTTATCGGGCGTCATGCCAGCCCTATTCCTCAACCCATGAGAACCGAATGCTCCAGTCAACATCCCAGTCGCAACTGTAGTGTTATATTAGAGTCCGCTGTACGTCTTGGGTCAACTTCAGGGGTGTTGCGCACCGAATGCAGCGCCTGCGCGCCAAAGCAGGTTGCCTGTCACTGCCATGTTGCGTAGACCAAGAAGAGGTGTTGTGGATGAGGGCCTGGACATAGACCGAAGACGGGTGCGTCGCGCAGTGGTGGCAAGTGTGAGGCAAGTGTGGGCGAGAACAGCGACTTCCTCAGTTGCACACCGTTGCGCGGCATACCGGCATCGGGGCCACCGGTCTGGGCGCGCCGAGTCGCTCACAGATGCTGACGCGCGTGAGGGCGAACACCGACTGCATTCACAGGCTGCCTCATGTGCATCTCATGAGTTGTTTTCCGCCCCCATGACCGTAGTGTACTCTCGACCAACACATTCGGGTGGCTTCTGTCCTCACGGACGTACCCAGGACAGCCCAGGACCCAAGGGTCGCTGGAAATTGACGCAGAAGCACAACGCACGATCGATTTCCATCCTACCGTTGTCTTCCAAGCTACATGGCATCAAATGGCTGCACCTGCTAGAGGTACATTGTGCACCTAGGGTTTTGAACCCGCCCCTCACTGTCTGAATACTCGCCAGACTGACCCAACATACTGAATCGAAGATGCTGTCTCGCCACCGCGAGAAACCATCACGTGGGCGCGTTTTAGTCAATCGCGTTGTCGCGTGGAGTTGGCGCTCATGTTCGCGCGTCGCGCGCGTCTTCGACACGTTCAAGTGTTTCGCCTTCGACAATCACCAGCAGGCACTGGGTCTGCAGCCGCCTTGCTGATCACTACTAAGGTCAACGGCAGCTCGATACCTGCGGGGGGCTTGTGTGCGTCGTCACTAAATACCCTCTCGCTGGGTCACCCGTCCTAAACAACCGTCCGAGTCACCCAGCCCGTGGCCAGCTTTCTTCTATTCGTCATGGACATGGACGGGAAAACACATGAAAATATATACAAGCTGAAACTCTACCTCGCGCATCTCCCAACGTCACTTTCCTTGCCATCCAACTCACGCCCTGACTTCCGCGGGTTTACTCCCAAACTCGGTGTTCTTCCGGGCGACAAAGCCGTGCACGAGGCACTCGAGGATGCTCTGGGCCCTTTACACTCCGCCATCTTTGTGATATGAGAGCGGGGTCCCGGAATACAGGCCTTAGGCGACGTCCTAGAGCGATACCTCACCACATATCCGCATTCGCTGCTTCTCCAACACTGGCTCTACATGATACTACTCGCCGTCGAAAATACCTTTCGATGCCATCATGTCGATCTGGTGAGCTTCACTGTCTTTTATCCACTCTCATGATTCTGATAAGGACCCCGCAGCCGTCATCAGCTACCTATTACACACCGACAACCAGCGACACACGAGCAGACCGGGCAAAGCACTCTGCATTGCCATTTGGCTCATATTATCCCTCCTCTTTCTCAGTGAATTCAAGTCGTCAATATACTCCACGCTCGGCTGGGATTTTTATTCCACCCCAGGTTTTCGGACCCTCCAGTCTTCCGCCAGCGAAGCGAAATAACGCTGTTTCTAAGGCCTCTCACGATCGATTTCCTGGTTCGGCAACTCAGCCGCAAGGAAGGAAGATTGCTCGGGCACCTCAGGGCTCATCCGGCTCAGCAACCGCCGCGCGCTTGCAAGGACCTGCGGTAAGTATTCAATTGCTACTACTTCGACGACTGAAAAGATGACCAATTATCAGATCATTGGTCAAGCAACAGTGGGCAACGCGAATACCTCGCCGCTTGCCAGTACCTCCACTCCACGGCGGCTGGAACCTTGCATAGACCCTCAGCTATTAGATCCTCAGCTTTTGCCTGAGCATCCGGCTGTACCAGATCGTACTGTCGTTCGGCCACGAGAATCAATCGCCGCTGGTACTCAAGGTATTTCTGCATGCCCATCTAGTTCTGTATATTCCTCTCACACTATTTAGTCATCAAACGACCGGCTAAGCCTCAGACTACCGCTGAGAGCTCAAAGAAGCCAGTGAGTCGTGTTCTCAAACATTCGGAGTACCACCTCTCACCATTTGTGATCTAGCGGTTGTCCATATCTACTGCCTCACAGACGGGTGCAGCAGAACCCAGTCATCGTGTATCATCACCGCGAGAGTACACTTCGTCTACGTCGTCGCAAGATGGCGAAAGCCTGTGCTTCACTTTCGATGATGCACGCGGTTCGCATCGGGACGGTACTTCTGTCAGAGCAGCATCCCCGCAGGTCACAAACGCTAATGGTACCGTCATCGAGACGATCTCGCGCGGGTCTCGCGCAGAGTCTACGCTCGCGGCTGTGCTCGCCCAACTCGGCCAGCTCACTTCTGAGCGTGATGCTTTGCGAGCGAGTGAAGAGACCCTGAAGACCGAGCGCAATAATCTCAAGGGCGAGGCTGGGAGACTCGCGAAAGATCGGAAGACACTGGAAGAGCGTCTTTCAAAGATTGGCGCACACTTCTCAGAGCAGCAGGATCGTGCAGAGCGCGCGGAGAGGCGTGGACGCGAACTCGAAACGCAACTCGAGCCGTTACGCGCGCAGGCAGAGAAGTCGCATGACCTCCAGTCCGCTTTGACCCGGACTACATCACGCGCGGAGTTGGCAGAGCATCGCGTACAGCAACTTGTGTCCGAGCGCGATGCCCTTCTCATCAAGCTACGTGCGTCGGAGAACGAAGTTGCCGTAGCGAAGGATGCAGCGAACCGTGTAGACGCCCGGTGGCAAGCCGAGGCGAAGGAGGTGACTGACCGGTTTAATGACCTGGAATCCCGACTTCAGGCGTCAAACGAAAAGATAGAGACCATGAATGGCCAGCTTACTCAGGTCGTACATGAGAGGGACTCACTGCTACAAGGCGTCTATGGGCTGCTATATCCTGATGCCGAGTCAGGGCCGGTCGAATTTTCCGGTATGTTGCGTCCCACCAAGGCACTTGGTCCTCGAGCGCTCATCCATTGTGCAGACATCCTGCGCTCCTTAGAGGCAGAGATGACGCGCCTACGAGATGACGCACCTACAGCGAAACAACGTGCTTTAGATGCCGAACAGCGGTTGATTGCCGCTGAGGAGGAACGGGCGACCATGGAGGACAAGCACGATCGTAGAGCTGCCTACATCACTATCCTTCGGCAACGTATCGCCGAATTGGAAGCTAGTTCGTGGAGGTTTTGAACGTACCATGTTGCGTTCGTACTTGACGCACTACTACAACTCACGCTCTCTATCTACTCTCGATCATATCGTATACTCTCTGTACTCTCGCTTATCCTACTTGTTTCCTGTATAGTAACCTAGATTTGTAGCATTCACGCCGCCTGATGAAGGCCATCCAGCTGAAATCGTCCTCCATCTTGTCTCGCTTTCGCTGTCCCTCGGACTCCATGATACCGAATCCCAGTCATGCCCTCAAAACTGCGCACGATGTTGACACGCGTGTGCGGGCGGGTTCTCACGTCGGCTCATGTAGTGCCATCACCATCTGCTGCCTGCTTTGCCGCCCGCGCCGGGCGCTCAAGCGCTCGTGGAATCTCATTATGATGATTTTGTCTGCATCATCGGAACCTCGAGCCTATCTGTAGGTCAGCGCATTGTTTCGACGACGACACGGTGTTGGTCCTCCGGGCGTCTGTGGCCTGCTACCCCTTTCATTGCGAGTCGGAGGTAGGAAGCGTGAACATAGCCATTCTTGGTCTACTATGTCGTCAACATATACCTCTAAGATCATCGAAAACAGTCTCACCTCTGATCAGCATCATCAGCATCATCATCGAGCGTGCTCTCCTGTGGTGGCGTGCCAAATTCAATCGTGTCCAGCGAAGAGTCTTCTCGTTTTCTTGACATGTGAGCGAGCCGCCATCCGAATGGGCGCACAATAGCGCGGAACGCGCGCCAGTATGACTCGCGAGCGTCGTGTGTCAGACCGAACAGGGCGAAGATGGTGAACGCGAGAACTGGTGTCGTCCCAAAAGCGAAGTAGAGGTGAACCAAAACGGTCCTCCCTTGTGTGACTGCTTCTAGATCTGCGTATTCAGTGCCCGGTGGTACCAGGCTCGTGTGAACAGAGGCCCAGCCGGAATAGAATGGCAGTTGCTCCCCGTTCTGTTTCGACAGCACCACGTTGAATGCGAGTACCACGATACCCATGGGTAGAGTGAGAATGATGTCAATGCTGGCGATGATGAGAATGCGAAGGTATGTTGAGCGGGAGATTGAGGTATCGCCCTCACTCCGCATAAAACGGTTCACGTCTCTGTTGTGGAAGTAGAAGACCCGCACAACCCTTGCTAGCGTATCAGTCAGATCGTGAACGGTTCTCTGTCGGACTTCTTCGGGAAGACGTACGGTAGTAGAAGGCGACGCAGTACAGTGGAGGAATGATTCCCCACAACTCGAGCAGAAGAATGCTGAGTATGGACGGATTCGTTCCGTTCATGCAGCCAAACCCTTCGACTAGATTGAACCGGACGCCTTGTACGACGTAATCTGTGTGATCTTCAGCGATGGACTATCTCTGGGCGTTCGTATTAGCTTACAGAACGGTCCTGCGACCAAGAATGGAATCAAGACGCCCGCAGTCCAGTCAATCAACCACTCCCACTGTCTCTGAAGCATCATAATGATCAGTCTCTCGGAACTGTGTCACGACAGATGCATCACATCGCACAGATATCGTCCTGAACGAGTCCACGGAGCGGAGGCCGGCGATGTTGTATAGATGGCGCATCATAATGAGAGTCGCCATCGGTTTGACCACGAAGCTAGCGATCTGCAGCCGGGTAACTGATAGTAAGGTGTTAGTCAATAGCTCTTTGAGCGGACGAAACAATGCTCACCGATATCGCAGTATACATACAGTTTGGGATCGGCGTTGTTTGACCACAGTATCCCATTGATCCCGTCTGCTAGAGCTTCAAAGAATAACCAGAAGCATAAGAAGGCCAGACCAAGGTTCCAGCTTCGGCGGATTGCACTGGTCAGAAGAACGAGTAGCAAGGAAGCTGCTGCAAGTATGTTAGCCACGGGATACAGAGGATACGTGGGGTCAGCTGCCATCGTTTCATAAAAGCTTTTCGCTTTACATAGCACACGAGCTATATACGCACACTTGCACAACATTCTCATCTCGCAGACGCTACTGCATGGACATGGCAACTACGTGGGTGATGCGTGATGTTCAAAACCATGGCGATCTTCCCTGGATGGATGTTGTGCGACGATCGAGCTTGTTTGGTAGATGTGAGTACTGTGTCAAGCACTTTTTCGGAGCTCGTGTACAGGGAATGCGGGATCGCATCAGCCAGACGAAGATGCGGGTAGTGTATGGCAGATGGACAATGCGCTATTCTGCCACAGGAGTAATGATAGCGAGTGGTGTTCGCCGGTTCATGCGTCCACGGCAGTATTCATGACATGGCATACCCGTCCAGCAATACTCTGCTAACCCCCACATCTAAGGTATCAGGTCGGGCGGGAGGGCTTGATGTACCCGGGGCATACCGAGTCTCAGTCTGTCACCATGGACCTCGATTGTTGTAATCAATCGGTTTGACAGCTAGCGTGCCTCTACGAACATATCGGGATCCATTCCTTTCACAAAGCTAGCCACTTGACGCACCGCAAGCCAACGCGCACGAAGGGATTCACCGGTCTGCGCAACGTGCGCTAGGGCAGCATTGTGGTCTAGTTTACAGGTATGACAGCGTACAAGAAGAGAGACGCAGAGCGCTTACAGACACCACGCGCATTTCACGCGCCAACCTCGCCACCCGGCACGAAGCCGTCTTTCAACTGCCTCTCCAATCTCCGAATCTCCTCAATAGACGTCGCGGCGGCGATAGCAGCGCGTACGCGGTCCGCTTCGTCCTTTGACATGAGGCGCCCGGCCTTCCCTGGACCTGCTGCAGCGCGAGGCTCGTCGGCATTTGCGGCTGAAAGTGCAGATTTTGATGCGGAGGAGACGGTCGTTGAGAGTTGTGTGCCGAGCGCGTTGAGGCGGTCGTCGGATGTTTTGAAGAGGGAGTCGCCTGCTTTACGCTCCTGCAGATCGAGACGTATGTGAGCATAGGTATATGATTAGAGTGAAAGAGAGGGGACGCGCCTTGTCGCGTATTCTTTGGAAGTCCAGCACGCGGAGGTGAGGCAGCCGCCACGCGATCCACTCGCGGTACCACTTCTTCTCCCTCACAGGATTGCCCATTAAACTCAAGTGGCGCAGACTTGGTAGAGACCGTAGCGGCTCTAAATCACCGAGTTCGCCAATGGCATTATTGGTGAGTACAAGGGTGTGAAGATGGGGTACAGATAGATGGATTGAAGGCGAGATTGATGCTATATGGTTATTCGCGAGTAGAAGCGCGTTCAACCTGCGGAGGAGGGGAAGGTTGGCGAGTGCGGTAATGGAGTTGTCCGTCAAGTCGATACAGTCATGTTGGTCCTATGATGACATGAGGTGTTGTGTATATCGATATACTGGGGTACGTACCCGCGTAACACCGAGGTTTTCAATCGCAGGTATTTTGTAACCTATTTGGAAATTAGATAATGTTTACAAGAATCATATGTATATGGCAGCTCACCCCTCAGGTCAAGCTCCCGCTGCTTGAGCGTGTTGAGGGAGGACGGGGCCTGGGCGAGGAGCTCGGGTGTCAGCTTCATCGCCGATCGTGGCCAAGTTCAAGTCGCGTCTCGACTTGAACGCGTCGAGCGCAGCTGCTCACCGCCATCATCATGAAGGTTCCACACTCCCTCCTAACCCTGTCCGTATATCCTCTCAAAATGATTATGCACAACTCTGACGCTGCGAAAGATACTCTGAGGGCGATGACACATATTACTTCGTGCCATCAGAGCCAACTGGCCCCCGCCATCTTGTCGTACACAGAAATTCCGGCGATATCTCTCTGGGTGGCGCGTGTTCCGACTTCTTCTACACGTTGCCTTGGCCCTGACACCATGAACAGACCCAGATGCGAGGGTACCTGTAACCGCGAAGCGATACCCTAAGCCAATCTATGGCATACTGGGCACAATCTCCCTAACACTCGGTGCGCAGCACTCCTAAATTCGCTCCTCACTGGTCGCACCGTCTGATGCTTGCACCATGTATAGCCGAGTATATTATCGTGATCACCGAGCGCGAGCTCAAGGGCAAACTTCTCGGTCATGCCGTTTGGCGCGCAACTAAATTCGACCTACTACCGATTGAGCCCAACGCTTCTGTATCAAGCCCTGCTCACCCAGCCGAGGCACATCTACTCGCCCTGGTCAAGACCCACCTGAACGACGGAATATTCTTGTACAGCTATACTTTCGACATCACGAGGAGGCTGCAGGCGCAATGGGTTGCACGAGAAAGGGACGAGGGAAAGGCTAGTTGGGAGGTGGTGCGTCATAGTTTCCTCGCATTGGTTGATCGAACGGGCAGCGACGTCCCCTGCTGTCTGTATACGTTGCGCAAACGTGTAACACGCCGTATGGCACGTTGGACGTGCAGTGCGTGCTGGGCGCTTGCCACAGGCGCTCGGAATAGGGGCACTGGGTTGAACAGGCTGCTGACTTTCCTTTTCACAGGTCGACGACCGTTTCTTCTGGAACAAGTTCGTTTCTGTGATCTTCGCGCCCGATTTGGTAGTGCTGATACCTTTTCAGGTTCTTACAGTCGAGGCTCATGGATATCAGCATGACGAACCCTCAGAACGATGTGCGTACGCGTTGATACCTATGCTCTGATCCTGTACTGACCGTCGTGCAGTTGAGCCCGTTCATCTTGCCCATCATCAATGGATGTGCGTCTAGTCCACCCTTTGGCTTAAATCACATACTGACTTGGATGCAGCGTTCGACATACGCACAACAACGATCAATGGCCGCAACATCACCCTCTGCCTCATCTCCCGCCGCTCCCGTTTCCGCGCTGGCACCCGCTACTTCCGCCGCGGCGCCGACGCCTCAGGACATGTAGCCAACTTCAACGAGACCGAGCAGATCGCGCTCGTCTCCTCCCCCGGCATCGCCGAGGATGTTCAGACTACGCTCTCCTTCGTGCAAATCCGCGGTTCAGTACCCGTGTTCTGGGCGGAGGTCAACACACTCCGCTACAAACCCGACCTGGTCGTCATGGACATACCTGGTGCTACCGAGGCTGCGCGCAGGCATCTTCAGGAGCAGGTTGCGCTGTACGGTGATACAAGTCTAGTCAACCTCGTCGACCATAAAGGACGCGAGAATCACGTTAAGGAGGCGTACGAGCGCGCGGTGGCGCCGGGCGAGAAAGCTGCGCTCGAGAAAGTCGCGTACCACTACTTCGACTTCCACAACGAGTGCAAGCATATGCGTTGGGACCGTATCTCGCTCTTGGTGGACTCCCTCGCACAGGACTTGGAGAGGGACGGGTACTTCCACGTCACAGCCGGGGAGCCGGATCCCTTTCACTGGCAGCTGGGCGTCGTGCGCACGAACTGCATGGACAACCTCGACCGTACAAACGTCGCTCAAGCCGCATTCGCCAAGTACACCCTGAACCGCCAGCTACGATCAGCGGGCGTATTCAGGCCGGATGACGACGTGGACCGCTACGCCGATCTGTCCCAAGGCTTCCGCGAGCTCTGGTCCGATCACGCCAACTTCATCTCCGAAGCCTACGCCGGCACCGGTGCGCTCAAGACTGACTTCACGCGCACGGGACGCCGCACAAAGGGCGGTGCGCTCGAGGACGGAAAGAAGAGTATCATGCGATACGTGAAGCAGAACTTCTTCGATGGGGCGAGGCAGGACGCGTATGACCTTATCACGGGCAACTGGATCCCGAGGAGATCCCCTGCTACGGCGGCATTCTTGTTGAGCGACGAGAGGCCGTTGGTCATTAGGGCTATACCCTATGTCCTTGGGTTCTCGCTATTTATGATATTCGCGGGGTTGACGCTTCCGCGGACGAGCGGTGCGTACTTTGATTTCGCAGTGATGGGGCGTGGTGACTGATCTACTTGACAGACTACTCGCTCATATACTACTTCGCATGGTGGATCCTCGTCTTTGTTGCATGCCTCGCCTTCGTTTTCACCTACGGCGTCGACTACGTGAACTGGCCACGCCTTCTCCCACCGACTGACGTCATCCGTACGTTCTTTCCCACTTTTATTTCCTCACCACATCTGACCTCCATGCCCTCGATAGACTACGCAGGCCCGGGCCACCGCAGTGCGCGCAACGGAATGGGCCTTGGCATCCCGATTGACGTCGGGGCGCTCAAGGAGGGTGCAGCAGCCAAGTGGATGGCCCGCGGCCCAGCCATGCGGAGGCGCGATAAGTGGATGGAGGAGCTTGAGCTTGGCAAGGCGCATCGGGACTGAGGGATACCATTTGATGATACCGCTTAGATGACTTGACTGGAGTATCTTGTGTATAGCGTAAAATAACATATATCGTAGTAGGATTGGCTGATTGAATGTGGATAGGTACTTTACTACTTTGAACATGTGGGATAGGATCAAGAGATATTGTACATCTATACCATTATACAGGGGGTCAAGATATGATATCAGAGCAAGAGGGGTATAGTAACATGTCTCGAGATCAGTGATACGGAGAAGAAATATTAGCAGTTAGACGATATGATACGCTCAGAACCTCCACGAATTGGCCTCCAGCTCTCTGATCCGTTGCTGCAGAATGGCCATGTAGCCAACCCGCCGGTCGTGCACGTCTTCCATAGCCGCGCGCTCCTGCTCAGCGGTCGCCGCTCGTTGAGCGGCCTCCGTTGCTCGCTGATTGGCATCTGCTGCGCGCTGCTCTGCATCTGACGCGCGCTGATCTGCAGCCTGTATGCGTTCATCAGCAGTGGACGTTTGTCCACGCAAACGTCCCAGCTCGGCACCGAGAGCTGCCATGGGGCCTTGTGGGGTCAAAGATGAGAAGGGTACCGCGGAGTCACGTTGCAGAGTACATACCGTTCAAGTTCCCCACACCGATATCGCTGGTCAGAAGGCTGTGCGCCGCCCGTAGCATCGAGTCCAGCTCGACAAGCGCGTGCTGTTTCTCGGTCTGTGCCGATTGCACCTCATTCGTACGGGTTGAAAGATCTGCCTCTAGCGCCTGTACTTGCTTGCGCAAGTCATCTACCAGCCCAAGCCGCTCGGAATCCACGCGTTGCCACTCGCTCTCCAGGGAGGCCACTCGAGCGGCAGCAAGATCCTCGTGCTCTATGATAGCCGCCTCGGAGGCACGGAGCCGCTCGGACAGTCCATCCCGTTCTCCCTCAAGAACGCGCGTACGATCTTCGGCGAGTTCTGCCCGAGAACGAGTTTCGTTGAGAGCAGTCTCGAGTCCTGCTTGCGTTGACGCGGCTTGCGAACGTGCAGAGCTGAGATACTCATCAAGTTCCCGAACGCGCAGCTCAGCCTGTCCTGCGCGGTCCAATGCCGCCGACACACGACTGATAAGGTCATCGCGAGCCGTCCTCAATTGGTTTCGTTCGACTCTGAGAGGCTCGACTTCTGTCTGAAGAGCGTCTCGCTCGGCTTTGAGCTGGTTGATCTCGGCGAGAACTGTGGCAAGAAGCGATTCGCTGGAGAGCGGTGCGATTGGCGGCTGCCTAGATGAATTGGTGCTCCCGGAGGCTTGTTGTGTACTGGACGAAGAAGTCCCGGGGGGAAAGATAGACGACCTTTCGGGACTGGGCCGGAGCGTATCGCCGTCGTGGGAAGGCGTTGGCGAGGCGCGTCCAGTGAGCGGTGATGCGGGTGATTCGGCGCGGGTCTGGGAGGTTGCAGAGACCGAAAGCCGCTGTCGTGCTATCAGCAAGATAAACATGCTTCATGGCTCAATGTTGCACACACCAGTCTCTTTGCACTTTCCCCTCCAGTTTCCGCGCTGTCTGCCGGTCTTTTATTCCCTACAAAGATTGGGTCAGGGATGCACATGCGTGAAAGTTTTGTGGCATCGGCGAACCTGGTCCACACGCATTCCCAGTGGTGCGCGGAGTATTGGGTTCGCCACTTTCCGTCAGAGCATCTTGTGAGGCTTGGTCGAATGATACAGACTCGAGAGCGCCGGAAGTTGGAGTTGACGGTTCTAAAGGACTGGTGTCACGACATGCAAAGATATCCTTACGGTATCAATACTAACCTGTAGGCAAAGGGCCAGGCTTGAACCACGTCTTAGCCTCGAAGAGTTCTGGACCGTGTGCGATCACCATGCGTCTCCAATGCTCAATGAACGACAACAGACAAGCCGTAAGGTCCACTCCGTCGAGGACGCGCAGTAGCAATCTCCAGATGTCACGCTCTACTCGCATAAGAGCTGCAGGGCGATCGGTGTTTCCCAGGAGCTTCCACGTCTGAACAAAATCATGGTTAGCACACGGCAGTACATTCTATGAGCTCGATGTCATCTACCTCGAATAGCTCGCTAGCTGGGCGTGCGTTCTTGACCAGTTGAGCCTTGCTGAATAAGAATACTGGGGACACAAATAGTGCGACAGCGAGTGGATAAACGAAATCCTTTGTAGACAGTCCCAATGCAGGTGCCTTTGGCCTAATCTCCCATTGAGCACTGAATGGATGAGATTAGATATACACCAAGACTTGACTGGAGTAGAAACTTACGCGACGATATAGTCTTTCAGCTTCGTGATGTCGAGCAACTGATCACCAATATTACTGCTCGCGAAGGGTCCGCATTTCTGCAGTGCTTGTGATCCACAACATGCTTTACTGCATTGGATTGATGACATACGTGGAGGATATATCCCAGTCCGGTCGCAGCCAGTCGCAGATTGTTATGCGCGGCGATGAAGTCTCGACGAAAGTGGTCGCCAGGAAGCAAATTCATCGCCTCCTTGATCATATTGGGTAGAGCCTCGTTCACCTTTGCGGGCCCAGGAACTTTGCACGGGTCGTCGTTCCAAGAGAGCGTCGAGAATTGTGCTAGCGCATTCTGAGACAATATGGTCGTGTAAGCTGACCTGACAGCGCCGTGTTCAGCTGGACCGGACATCAATAGAACCCAATCAGAGCTGTACGTAGCCCAGCCCTGAGTTGGTACGCACATATGAGAACGGCATGCAATAGATCATGGGTAGTGAACATACCGGAGTATTTGGCGCGGCAGGCGAGAGGAGAGTTGACAACAGAGTCCCGTCTCTCCTGGGTACAGCATGAGAGCGTGACGGCAGGCGAGTTCCGCAAGCCCAGGCCAGAACATCCAGAGAGCGTAATGCGATCAGCCACTGATAGTCCTCCACCCTCGCGAGTCCGATCTCCATGAACTCGTGCGCTGCGAGACTCACAGCGCCTTCAGGTTCGATACCCATCCATCTGAAATCAATGCAAGCTCTGTCGACATTAGAGTATACATCGTCACGTTCCCAAGTATCCAGCCTGCGAGCGAGATCCTGGGAAAAGGTGATTAGATCGACGTTGCGAGCAGAAATCGAAGAATGAACGGACCGTCAAGATGGGTTGTTGTGATGTCGGGTTCACCGAAGCGGCCGCGGAGGATGTCGCAGTTTCCGTTACGCTCGAAGAAGCTGCAGTTTCAGGCGTAGAACGTGTTCTTAGCAACGCATCGCCCAGCAACGTATCCTCAGTCATAAACGGTGAGTGCCAGGGCAGCTTTCGAATGGCGTAGCTGCGCGAGCGTAAACAGGACTTTGTCGTAGAGAGAGATTGTACAAGCTGTCTCAGATTGGGATCCTGGGTGATGGTACCGAAGACGTATGAGCTGTGTCGAATGGACTTTGCACGTCTGAGCCCTTGAGCAACTTGTCTTTCCGATGCTACGCTCCTTTTGCCTTTCGCTCTGGGGGGCGGCTCGGGTTTAATCGTGCGGGTCGTTGATTGAGATTCGACTCTGTATGGGTCTGCCGCCGAGCCAGGGCCGCCTAAAGAAGACTGTGCCTCCAGCGGGTGCCTGTTCGTTGGTTGTGAAGAAGTTCCACCGGAGAGGTTAGCAGATGATGTTGTCCCAGGCAGTTGAAGGGTAGAAGGATCGTGAGAAGGTGGCGCGGACGTTGAGGGCCCTGCTTGTGTTGAAGGTCTCGTTACTGGTGAAGGGTCCAGAGAGGGCTAAGCTTCTCAGTCATGTGGTAGCAGTGCTCACAAGAAGCAGAGCTCACCGGCGCTATTCCCGCGGATCGGTAAACATTAGAGGCGGCGAGGAGAGCCCCGTATAGCCAGCGCTGGAGGGGTAGCGAGGCGGGATTGTACTGGAGGAATTGCTCCAAAACATCTGCTAGAGCTTGTATCCCAGGTCCCCGCTCCCGTATCGTCAAGCCCGTGTTGTTGGAAATCCCGAATATTTCCTGGAGGGCCTCGTCCACCGCCTTATCGCCAGGTAGTACGCCAACCTTAGGGGCGAAGTGACGCAGATCAATCTGCGGAGCTGGTGGCTCTGGAAGAGTATTTGGAAGGTGTGCAAGGTATATCCTGAGGCTCCTGATGTTCTTCTTGTTGTTTTCGACTACGTCCATGGCTCGGTAGCCCTAATGATCATATATTGATAGCTTGGAGTGACAGTCCCAGAGGATATGCCGGACAAAAGAGAGCGGAGCGAGTCCGCGGCCAAGTATATTCCCGTCCTCAGCTTTGGTGCGAGGATGTCAGACAAGGATGGTAGTGGTAGGGGTCCAAGAACAACCGCGACGCGTCCGGTTCGCGACTACGACGCGCTCGCGCTCGCGATCAAAAACGCGCCCACGTGAGTATTCTCACGGTGTTTTTTAACGCCAGCCTGTGCGGCCCGCCAGGGGCGGCGAGGCCGCCCGCACGTCAGACGGCCAACAGTACCCGCATGGAGTCAGAGAAATCGAGTACTCGGTAGGCAGCATAGAGGCACGATCACTATGCGCAATTGGCTATGCGCCAGGTTATATATAGATTCTTCAGACGACAGCGCAATTGGCCTCTGCCAGCAAACTATACATGTACGACCTGTAGCGCTTGCTAGAGCCACGGTGCCGCCATGCTCTATCATATGCATCGTTTCCAATAGTAGACTTCCTCCTTTCAAGCGGCAAATGTGTCCCGAGACAGTCGAGGACCAATGTTGCCTACGGCGAGGCTACCGGTAGAGTGATGGTCATCGGCTGGTGAGGTGCACCTTGTTCGAAGTACATATCTCCCTAGAATAAACCGCGTGTTAGGGAACAAGCACATGCAGTGGGGAGAAGCCTTCATCGCCGTGGTATGAGTGCGTGTGTTGTACATACCTCGTTGATGTAGCCAAGCCTGGGTGACGATAGCAGGCGTAGATCAGCGACCCAACATCAGCGGTGCAGGATGACGGGATAGCACGGACCGAGCGTAGAAAGGTACAGAGTACATCTGCGAGCCAATCTTCACCGTAACCGTGCGCTCACTCTGGAGCACAACGGCGGCTTCGTGTCCTGCTGACGCCTCGCCGAGCGAGGGCGGCGCGAGATACGGCTCGCGTACAGCACGTCCATGAGCAGCTTTCACAAGGACTTTCCCGAGGCCGTACTTGCGATACGCCGACAGGATCGAGACTCGTCCTAGCATGATGTAAGATGTACCAGGTATATGATAGAGCCTGGCAGTGCCGATCGGCGTGAGCGAAGGTGTCAGCCGCAAGAGGAGGTGCGTGGCCGTCGCGTCATGTCTGCCCGTAGTGTTAGCCAAGGAGATGATCGTGGCACATAGATAACGCTCTTACTCATCCGTGTTGAGCGCGACCGAGAAGCCTTGCTCTGTGCAGAAGACGGCCAGTCGAACGTTGATGCATTGCTGCAGCAGCCGCTCTTGCTCGTCGGGGTAATCGGATATGACGATCACTTCATGAGGCGGTGGTAGTGGCCTGTTGGAGGTTTGGGTTGTGCTCATACAGTGGGGTAAGGTCGCCGTGCAGTTATGGGGAGCCACATTATACGATGGCAAAACTTCTGACTTATGGAGCGAAGACTGAGTCGGTACCGCGTGCAGTCAACAGTACGACTCGACTCGGAAAACTCGGCCGGCGTGAGTCTGATGATCATCGTAGCGGGATGCGTTGCCCGGACTTCTGTTGGAAACGAAGGTGAAGAGGTCAAACACAATTGCATCTAGAGTATCTTTGTTGAGGGTATAGGGAGTCTGTATCAAGAGGTCATCCACCAGGGTGGTTCGGGACAAGTGCCGCGACATCCGCGCCGATGGCTTGCTCAAGCGCTCATGGCGCACGCGCGCGTTCTCACATCCTCGACATGACCAACCGTAGTATGGGCGCTTAGGATAATCCGTGCCCGCGCTCATGCCATACTTGTCAGTCGAAGAGTACTGAATGTAGCAGACAGCCCACACCTCACAGCCCCTTCGCTAACTGTATCCGTATATAACAAACGCAATACATATACACACCGAGCCAGCAACAGCCAGAGGTATAATACAATACAAAACAAGAACAAAAACAAATCATCGAAGGCGAAAGGGTGTGCATAGCAGTAGCATGTAATCGTCGCAGTCCAAAAAGGCCGGAAAACTCAAAAGAAAATCGTATATCCAGGAAAGTCGTGCGTGGATCGTACCAAGCGTACATCGTGCGAGCCGTAATTCCAAGGGAGTCTGTCGATAAGATCGTCAGCGCTTCCATTCATGTCGCAGCGGGACGATGAGAGTGGCTCACCTAGCGTTTATACAAAGCATCCACGATCGAGTCCACCGAGCAAGACTGCCAGGACTTCTCGCCCCGCCTTGATATCCTCCAACTCCGATCGTGCCGAAGAGCCCACATGCTCCCACCTCCTGATGGTCTCTCCAACAGCGCAGACCGCCTGCCACCTCCTCGTCTCCTTCCCCACACTCTTCTTCGCCTCCTCCGCCGCTTCCCTCCTCGCCTCTGCCTTAACCCTCTCCGCCTCGAGCCGCCTCTCTTCCTCCGCAGCAGCGAGCTGGGCTTCCAAAGCGCTAACGCGGGCGGCATGTTCAGCCGCAGCGGACTCTCGCGCATCCATAGCAGCGCGCATCTGCGTTTCCAACAACGCGACTTGCTCGCTCAGCTCCTTCGCGTCGCGTAACCGCGCAGCCTTTGCGCCCTCGAGTTTCGAGTTCTTCTCGCCCTCCACCTCCGCGACCTTCTGCACGAGCGCCGAGACTTGCTCTTGTACAGTCTGCAGCTCGACTTCGAGGTTCTGTACGGAGCGAAGTCGTTCGTTGGCGAGTTGTTCGGCTGAAGCGAGTTGGAGGCGAAGCATCACGGCCGTTCCGGCTGCGCTGTCTTGTGGGCTTGCGAGGCCCGTGCGGAGAGGTGCGGGCGAGGGGGTGACCTCCGGTAACAGCACCTGAGAGATCGAGCCGAACCCTCCTGGACTCGGCAAGTCCGGTGTGCCAGGCGTAGGAGGTACCCTTGAGCTGCTCCTCGTCATGCTCATCATACTGCTCCCCATGCTCATGCTGACGCTCAACAACCCGGGCGTTTGTGGCACGTTCGGCAGATCCAGCGCGCTGAATGTCGGCGATGCGGGCCCGGCGGATGAAGGGTTGAATGGGGCGGACACCTCATTGAGTAGAGCGGCGGCTTCGCCTTCGCCGAGGGAGCGCTCGCCTGCGGCTGCGAGTTGTTCCCAGGAGAGGAGTGAGCCGCGGTCGTTGCCTCGGTAGGCGGCGCGACGGCGAGGCGAGGGGTCCGAACCGGGTGGGAGGGGTGAGAGGTAGGACATGTCCTGTCGGCCGGGTAGGTCGAGGTGGGCGGCGGCATCGGCTGAAGCAGCCTTGGAATGCGACGACTTGCTCTTGCCGGTCTTCTGGCGAGTGGGGGTCTCGGGCGCACGAGAGGTATCCGCCGCAGTGCGTACGAGACGTGGGATAGCAGGCGTTGGTGCGGACGGAGAGACCACTCCACCCAACATGAAGGCTACATCGTCCGTCGAATCACCTTCGCTGAAGCCAGGCGAAGGCTGTGATCCCTTCGAGGACTTGGCGAAGCGGCCCAGTGGGGAGTCCTCCGCCAGGTGGGCCTTCGACGTGGAAGCGGTCTGCCTGAGCGGGCTGGCACTATGCTTCGTGGAGGAGGCCGACGCCTTCGTACGCCGCACGGGAGTGGGGGTCTGCGGCGTCTGCGCATGGTGACCAGAGCTTGAAGACGAAGCAGAGGGCGGACGCGGGATAGCGCTCGACGCTGATGCGCTCTTGACATGACCGGACTTGCTGACCCGGGTCACGGGAGATGCCGAAGCTTTAGTCGTAGGGATCTTGACGCGAGAGATCGGCGTGCCAGGCGCGATAGCGACAACGTGCTTGAGGTCCCGGTGCTTGGTCTTGTGATCATCACCAGCACGAGCGAGTGCATCGTCAGAGTCCTCCTCTGCAGCATCGAGGCGCTTCTTGCTCTTCAGCGTGCGCTTCTCCTTCTCCTTAGCGACCGGCGCCTCGTCTTGTTCAATCAGAGTCTTCGATGAAGTCTTCTCCACAAGCATACTGCGGGGCCGGTACTTCGGCAGCGCACTTCCGCTGGCAACAGTCCGAGGGCGCAGACTGGCGCGACGAGCAGCACCGGGACTCAGAGCGTTATCCTTCTCCTTTTCTTTGGCGAGCAGGCCATCCTCGGTGACTGCCACGTTAGCGGGCTGAACAGACGTCCGGCGCGAGGCACGTGTGATAGTCGCACTTCCGGTGGTACCTGTTGCGGTAGACGGCCTCGAGTTGAGTGATTGACGGGGGATGGTGCTGGTACGGCGCGCGGCTTTCTCGGGGTCCTTGCTATCCTCCTTCTTTTCCTTCTCCTTGGGTGTATCCTTCTCCTTCCCACGCTTAGAGGAGGTACGTTCGGCTGGAGTACCATATGAGTCCTTGTTCAAGACATCCGCGAAGGCCTTTCCGACGGAGGCGAAGTTCAGACGAGAGCGCGTGGCAGGCTTGGTCGAGCCGGAAGGCGTGGCAGACGGCGCCATGTTTATCTAGCTGCTCGGATGCCACAGAAGCTAGAGAGTTCGTAGTGGGCCAAAGCTAGCTAAAAAGTATAGTGCGACCGGCGCAGAAGAGTTCAGCAAGAGGCTGGTGGCGCAGCAGTGGGGGGATGGGGGTGGTGGACGTGAAACAGCAGGCGAAAGCAACTTGATATCAAACTGAACCACGCGGTTGCCACTTCCCACACTCTACAGAACATAGAGGCGCACATGGGTCCCCGTGCCACCCTTTGTCCCGAGACATCTTCCCTTTCCGGAAAACAAGTTCATTTCGCTTTGCAAGGGATGCGATTGTGAGTACAAGGGTCTACTACAAGCGTATAAATACTGCCCGACGATCTCGAGACGTCATGGACTACCACATAAACCGCAACGCTCCTCCGTCTCTCGCGCAGTACAAGAATACATACATCGTCGCACCGTTTACAGCTGCATACCATGCGCCCTCCAGTACGAGCGCCCACTCTGGGACATCGCTCACCTATGGCATAACAAATCAGCATCGCGATCCCCATCGAGTATCTATGAAGCTCACCTGAGCGCGCAGGAGGATGTAGGGCACCAGGAAGTAGCGCGGCTCGAGCAGTGGTGTGGGTAGCAGCACGGGTACGGCCGCCAGTGGCAGGAGCAGCGTTTGCAGCAGAGTCTGGTCCTGACCTGTTCGGGATCAGTTCGGGTGCTCTACTTTATCAGGGGAAGAAGAAGCAAAGAAGTCCGAGAACGATGAAAGGTTGAGGATTAACGTGTGATTCGGTCCGAACAAGGGCACCGCGATTAGGGTGTGATATGAAACCGAATAGGGGGAAGGGTATGAAGGGATAAAGAGAGACGTACCGGCTCTCAAGAACCATGCCCATCCGCATGCGATGTATCCCGGCACCAGTAGGTGCAGTACGATCGGGTGCAGCATGAACACACGCCTCCAGACGTAGAACGTGTAGTGGCGGTTATCAGCCAGAAGAAAGGGATGGTGGATCCTGAGCGAGCATTCAGTAACTGCAACAACTGACGCGAGTTCTGACACAGGATCTCACTTACGTGAAGAAGTGCACGCCCACACTCATAGCACTGGCAAGCAACGCCGTTGCTAGTGTCCTCCTGGAGAACGACACAGGTGTATCATTCAGTGAGATGTGAAGATGACGTAGAGGTATTCAATGCACCTGCTTGTGCCGAACATGCGCCAGCGCACCTCCTTCACGAGGCGCGGCAGCCCGCCTGGTCCGCTGATCAGTGCTGGCCACCCGGCCATCGTGGCGAACGCAATGAAGTAGAACAGCTGCGGGACATGTGTTGCCGGGACGTGATTGCTCTTGTCACCTGTGTGCCCATCCTGTCGTCAGCATGCAGTCCATAAGGTAATTGGGGAGTCGGAGATCAGAGTGTCAAGGGTGTGAAATCAACATACCGAGTACAATGCCACCGTTCCACACTACAAACGCGCCGAAACCGATCAAGACAAACACGTAGGGCACAAACGCGGGGAGGATCCCTGGCAAGACCGCCGGAACGCTCTTGATGAGCTTCAACCAGTCATCTACATGTTGACAGTCAGATGCAGCCCTCTCGCACACGCATATAAGCGAGGGGAAAGGCGTACGTGGTTCTGCCGTCAGGGCGGGCGGGTCGTGCAGCTTCGGGGAAGCCGGTTGGTTGGGAAGCGCGCGTCGGAAACGAATGCTCATTAAAGTGCTGAGCGCGTAGGCATAGATCACCCAGATGATGTTCGTTTGACGGAATGTGCATGCGATAGCGCCGAGCTATGGCTGTCCCCGTCAGTCTTTCGTTCTCCCACAGTAGCACAACATGGGGCTCACCGCGCCCGCTAACCAATGCCTATCCTGCACTGCTGCTGCGATCGTACCCGCCACCACGAGTAAACCTGGTACGTCCGTGTAGTACAACATGCCGAAGAACCACGCGATCGGGAACGCGGCCAGGACGACGCCATCAAGCGCCGGTGCAAATGGGCTTGATGGTAGCCGAACTCGTCGATGAAAGCATGTCAAGCGCGTCAAGGCGAATGGTAGAAGTAGCAACGCAAGCAGCGGCGTCATGCGTAGAGTCGGCAAGCGGCATTTGACCATAAACACAGACTTGACTAGCAGAGAAATGATGTAGAGACCAGGAGGAGTAGTAATCTTAGGGTCCCAGTGGTCCCAGTGCCCGTCGCAGTAAGCCTGGACTTGCGGGACATGGAACGGCTCGTCCATGTAGGGTTCTGTTACGACGGTGTTGAGCTCTTTGAGCGTGACGATCGAGAGGGCTGCGAATATCACGAAGCCCGTGGCCCCGAGCTGGGACTGGTCTGATAGGCCAGACATGCTGGCGGGTCGTCGGTGTTGGTGGAGGTCAAGTTCAGGATGTGTTTGACGCCGACGCCGTCGCGCAGCGCGTCGTCGTGGCCCGCCGGCGCTTACGGACGTGGCTCGACGCCGGGCGATCAAACATGGACTCTCACGGCGCACAGGGCTGCGCGCTATCGGGATTCCACGCCGAGTACAGAATGTAATGCATACCTCTATGCTGGTTTTACTTCAGTCTCGAGTACGTTCCTCAGTACTAGGGCGGCATGGATGTCGGATTTGTTGCGCCACAGCTGATCATGTACATGCGAGTTTCGCGGACGCGCCTGGACGCGCGCGTCATGATAGGTTTTGTCCCGAACCTTCACCATCACGTTTTTGCCTGCAGCGCACCTACTTGCGGTTGCTTTTCTAAATCCTGGACTCATCGTCGTGTGGATCTACCTCTGGTAGGAAGGCCAACTATGGACGGAGCTACACAGGAAGAGGGGTGTGTGAACACTAGCATAGCTGTAGATGCTTGACCTAACGTCGCTTCCCCTTGCTCTTTAGGACTGTCTCCACGAGCTATTGGGAGATTGTACTGCGCGCAAGCATGCCGTCGCTACTACAGTCAGATGATAGTCGTGGACTGGAGCAGAAACTAGACAGTCTATATGATGAAAAGGCTACAGCTGTGCCATACGCGGCAGCCGAGGTGACGACCCAACATCGCGGCGATCAACGTGCCATCCTTCGCGAGTGTTGGAACAACTCGTTTTCTACCACGTCCGACCTCCCTACCGAGATCCTTGAACACATCTTTCAGGATCTGTATAGGGCCTCCAAGGAACTATACTGGGGACTGCCAGCTAATATACCCCTTGATTCCATCCGGATCTCGCGTGTCTGTCGTCGTTGGCGCGAGATCGCGCTGAGTCGGGGTACACTATGGAACGACCTCAGCACGCTGATGCCGAAGTTTCTTTGGGATGCACATCTAGCTCGTTCCCGAGCGTGTCTGCTCGATGTGAAGTGTATGTGGCCCCCCGAAAATACGGATTATATTACCGACATCATCGCCGTTTACCCTCGCATCCAATCGCTTTTTGTCGCCTCCTGTTCAGACCAAGACGTCGTGGAAGATCTGGGTCCAGCGTTTTTATTGAAGTCCCCACATCTACACACACTGGACATCGCTAGCGTCCATAGATTGTGGCTTAACCGCACATTCCATGAATATCTCGTGCATCGCGCTCCTGCCTTGCGGAGCCTTTCACTGTCCCACCGCATCTTCCCGTGGGGTTCCACTCTGGCTCATTTACGATCGCTCCGATTGTCATCCACCATGTATGGGGATGACACCGATGGCGATATCCTAGATCTCTCCCATACGTTTGAGGACGTTCTCCACACCTTACGAGGCGCTCAGAGCCTTGAGATACTCGACATCTGGGGCGATGTTGTTTTCGCCGCGCCATCGGAGCTACCCTGGCCGACCATATCCTCTCCCTTGAAAAGGCTAACATTAGAAGGCCCCGTATACCGCGTTTGCGGTCTACTAGCTGCGTTCCAGGCCAGTTCCTCTTTGCAAGCTAAGCTTGTCTCTGAAGAGTACGAGAGCGACTACGATTCGGATGATCCGGAAGACGTGGAACCCGAAGACATGGAAGATCAATCGACCGCCGCTGCCCGTGCATCGGATGTCCTACGCCGCCATCTATCTAGCCGATCCCTACAAGGGCTACCCGAGTTCACGGTCTTGCATATGATTGTCGACGACGCTCGTCTTACTATGAGACTTGGTTTTGAGATGGTTCCTGTATCGACGCTCTCCACCACCGGCACGAGCACAACCCGACCCACATCAGAGCAGTTGACCAGCGACTCGGATCTTCCCTACGTGGACTTCCGACTCACCTTCAAAAGCGCTCATCGAGGGCATGCGGAGTCGATCATCGCAAAGACCTCGAAGCTCTCGCGCAGTATCACGACTGCACAGCTTCAATGCCTGCAACATCTGGTGCTCTCCGCATTGTGTTGGCATGAACAGGACATCGAGCGCGTGTTCCAGCACGCGTACAACGTCGAGAGTCTGACGGTGTACTCTACGTATGGCCCCGATGAGTATCAAGCAGCAGCACTCGTCGCTCAACTCGTATGCGAGTCGGTGCCGATGTTGGAGGCCACAAGTTCCGACATCGATGCTGCCGCCGGCAAGGTCGACCTGAAGCCGTTCAAGGAGCCTAAATTCCTGCCTCGGCTTCGCGCTCTGCACATCACAGGTGTCGCCTTGAACCACGTGGTAGAATACAACGGTCGATTACTAACTCTGATCGACGCTTTGACGCGAGGTCTTCGGGGTCGCCATCGCACTACCAAACGCAGGCTGCAGACATTGCACCTGGAGGATTGCGGGCGGATTGCAGAGCGCGATATCGAGCTGTGGGTTGATTGCGTATCGCGTGTCACAATCGATTGACAGGAGTATACATGACTGGGAGCCCAGGAAGATAATTATCTCTGGATGCGTACTCGGAATCGTGTGTACTGAGTACTTATTAGTCTCGAAGCGCTACTATACGATCAACAACTGGCCGAAACAGGGTCCTAAACTCAGGTCCTATATACGTTACAGGTGAAAGTCCACTGTAATCTACAGGATCTTAGCATCCCAATATAATTTCCTATACGCGCCATCTAAGTATCGAGTCAAAGGAACCGTGCGGTCGCGATAGGATGGTCAACGCCGTGCAGTAGCCTTGTTTCGGTCGTGTGAAGGATCTCCGAGAGCCGGGCCGTGATCCGATAAACATGTTCGCGGCGCGCCGTGGTGTTGTTGGTTGCGTCTCCTCCACGTCCATCCTGCTCTTCAGCGCTTAGCACCTATACGAGTGAATATCGCAGACCGGATTTTAATTACTCTTGTCAGCTTTCTCTGGGATACTTATGAATGAAGAAGACGGCGAGCCAGGCGATGTTCAGTGCGTTGTATATGTATGGCTTGTGTTCATGACGTTGATGAGTCTACAGGAACACATCCACGAGCTATTGGCAGAATGCGCTCAACGCGCGATTAGAAGCTCTTCCCTCAGCGGAAGACTCAATGACAGAAGAAGCGTTTATCGCTGCCTACGACCTTGAACGCGATGCAGTGGATTCCATGAGCAGAAGACTTGCATCGCTCCGTAACTTTCAACTCTCGCTCATACGAGAGCGCCGCAACGCTCGATGCGAGGTCACCCGCATTCTACCGCCAGAACTACTCAGACTGGTCTTCCTGTACCACTCTTATATATCGGAGGAATATCGAGACCTGATTTATCACCCTTGGAGGCGCAATACAATGTTAGTCGTGGCTGGCGTTAGTCGCCGCTGGCGCACAATCGCGCTCAATACGGGTGAACTGTGGGATCATCTGCACATGGACATGTCGAATCCTTTTTGGTCGACTTGCTGGGATCGTTCGGCGAACCAGCCGCGCACTATCGACGGGCATTGGACCGGTAGTGCACCCGTGTCACGGCGCGAAGCCATCATAGATAACCTTGCTCACGTAGGAGAACTCCGCCTGTTCCTTTCCGCGATGTACACCAGTGATCGTGTGGCGTCTCAAGCCCTCCTTCTGAGCTCCGCTCCTCGACTTCACATTTTGGATCTATCTGGGGAAGTTGGCACATGGCACGCGGCCTTGGGCGACTTCATTGAACATCGCACCGCTGCTCTTCAGTCGTTGGTATTGCGTGATATCCATTACCCGTGGGGAATCAGCATTGCCGCACTCAGATCCCTTACATTGACAACTTTCCCTCACCAATTCAATCAGAGGGTCAGACGGCCCCACGAAATGTGCCTTTTCAGCGATGTCCTTCGTACGCTGCACACGGCCGTGCATCTGGAAGAGCTGATACTACTGGGAGAGCATGTTTTCGCTCCCCCAGAGCAACCCCCAATGCCGAGTGTGGACCTTCCAGTTCGCCAACTCTCGCTATCGCATCATGCCGTTGGCCGGCAAATGTCTCTTGCACCAGGCTGTCTCCTTGCCGCGTTGAAAGCGGGATCTACGATGAACGTCAACATGCTATATGAAGGAGATTTCGATCTAGTGGCAGTAGCCAAACAGACAGCACTGCTGTTACAAAACCATCTATCTAGTCGTGGAGCGCCAGGCCCTCCGGAGTTCACCGTCTTACATCTCTTGGGCGACTGTCCCGAGGGTACACTCACATTTTGGTTAGGTTTTGACACGATACTTTTACCAACGCCCGTCGGCCCTGAGGAGGGTGTTCACCCCGTGGACCAACATTCATCATTACGCGTGCAATATGTTCAAGCAGGGAACATGCTCGACATCCGGCTCCAACGAGACGATGTCCGCTCTTGTACAACCACCCTCCTGCGCAGCCTTTCGAGCAGCCACATCGAGCACCTTCAACACATCGTGCTGACAGGTCTTTGGTGGCATAAAAGTACTACGCTTGGCTTCCTGAGCCGCGCTCGTTGCGTGGAAAGTTTGACAATCTATGCATCTACGATGGCCATGGCCCAAGCAGCAGCTGCACTCCTCACCGATATCATACATACGCCGTCATCGGCCACCGCGTATCCCACCGCGGGACTCCCTCCCGGCTCGATGCTTCTTCCATCTCTGCGCACCTTGCACGTTATCGGAGTGCCCTTCAACGCCGAGGTTCAGGATGATGGATTGGTCAACCTGAAGCTCGATGCGGTGATGTCGCGGTTTCTGGACAAGCGAAACGCGCTTGGGTGCGGGATAGAGTGCTTACACCTCGAGGATTGTTTCCCGATCGATGAGCGCTTTCTTAGCCTCTGGAACAACCTTGTGCCACGAGTAATCACTACTGATCCCATGTATGACTAGTACCGGTATAGTAGACGCAGATCCATGTGCGATGTTTCTTGTACGTGAAAAGGACAGGGCTCTGAGAGCATGGAAGTTCAAATGAACGAGTGAGATGTAGCCCTGTCTAGTTCGAAACAATCGCCCTGTCGCGGTAACTTCTACGTCGAAAGGTCCTGTCGAGGCTGTCGCCCGTACAGCGCTCACACACTTCTTTGAATCAAGAGTATATCACACGAAAACGACTTGATACAACGAGCAAATCGCGCAGGATAATGAAGGCATAGGACTACAGCAAGTCCCTCAAATCCAACACTGGTCTTACGACCTCCTCGGCGCGCTCGCCCTCGTAAGCCTCTTCACCCTCCCCGCAGGCGCATCAACCTCCATCGCATCCCTCGCGATATCTTCCTCCGTGACGACCGCTTTCGAGCCGAGCAACCTATCATCCACCGTCAGCACCCGCTCATTCATTCTCAAAAAGACTGGAATGAAGAGGGAAAGAAGCGTACTTCTTCTTCTTCGCACCCCCCTTCGGCTTAACCGGCACAATCATCGAGTCCTCCTCCCCATCCCACTCCTCGGCCTCAATCCCCTCATTCTGACGCGAAGAAGCGTCCGCAATAGACAGCCCGTCCAGCTCGTCCGCCAACGCGCTCATCTTGCCCTTCCCCTTCCCCCCTCCCTTCGCCCCACTCCCACTCCCACTCTTGCTCTTGCTCTTGTTTTTACTAGCGGCAACAGCCTCCCGCAACTCGCTGTCCTCGCTCCCCATCCTTCCCAGCGCCTTCGCCTTCCCTTTCGCCTTCCCTTCCCCTTTCGCCTTCGCATTGGACTTGGCGCCGTCGTTGAGAGCGAGCGTGCCGGAGCCGGAGCCGAGGCGGAGCGCAAAGTCGGGTGTGGGGGGCTGGGAGAGGTGCGGCTGGCCGCGGGCTGAGGAGGGCTTGTAGCGGTTGAGCGCGGGGGAGGTGCGCGGTTTGCGGGGGGTTTTGTCTTGCATTCTCTCGTCCTCCTCCTCGTCCTCCTCTCCTTCCTCTCCATACTCTCCATCGTCTTCTTCAGCGTAATCATCGTCCACCCCCTCATCCTCCTCCTCCTCCTCAGTATCAGAATCCCTCCGCGAAGCAGAATCCTCAGTAGCCGTCTCCGTCTCGTCGTCCGACGCCGCGGCCGACTCGTCGTCGGGCAGCGCGTGGTGCCGCACGCCTTGTTTGTCCGGGACGCGGATCTGCGAGGGGCGCGGGCCGGCGCGGGAGCGGGATGCGAGGGGTGAGGGGGAGGTTTCGCGGCTCCCTTCGTCTTCTTCTTCGTATTCTTCGTCGTCGTCGTCGGAGTTGAGGTCGAGCTATGACGGGTAGAGGTGTGAGCGAGTGGGAGGTGGAGGAGGGAGGGGAGAGGCGTACGCTGGCGTCGATATCGATCTCCTCCTGCTCCTCATCCCCATCTTCGGAGTCTTCCTCTTCAGTATCAGACGACGGAACGCGCACGGCGCTGCGTTTGACGGGCGAGCCGCGCACGAGCAGGTCGATCTTCGCGTCTGTCTTTTGCTCGTCTGTTCACGTCACACCGTTCCGTCAACACCTCGAACATGAGTATGAATGAGAATGGGGACGCACGCTGCTCAACTTCGCGCCTCAGCCTCCTCGCAAAGCTCGCCTCCATATCGGCGATCAGCCCCTGCGTCTCTCTCATCACTTCGGCGCGCGTCGAGGCTTCGATGAGCGCGGCGCGGTCGTGCGCTTCGATGAGCTGTTTCGCGCGTCAGCGTGTGCTCGCGGCTGATACTAAGAAGGTAGAGCTTACTTGAAGGCGCATCCGCTCGATCTCATCGAACAGCGCCTCGACGAGCGGATCGAGCGGTTCTTCGTCTGCAGCGTGCTCGTCCTCTTCTGCGTCTTCTACATACCAATATCAGTACGACCTCCCCCATTCACCTCGACGTCATGAGGATAAGGGAGAGACGCACCTTCGACAACAGTAACCTCCGTCGCGCGGCCTTTGGGCTTCGAAGGCGGTAGAACGACGCTCCGCCTCGTCTGCTGCACCGCCGTCTGCGGGCGCGGGATGCCGGATATGCCGAGCGATTGTTTGGTCGGGCTTTCGCGCCCCAGTCTACACTCCTCATCAGCATCAGGGAGAACGGGCGTGGAGGAGGGGAGGGAGAGGAGGGCGGACTTGCCTGGGGAACGGCAGCTGCGCGACGCCCGGCGTCGCGACCTCCCTTGCGAGCGCCGAGAAGCGCATGACGTGCGCGTTCTCGTCGTAGCCCGTGTCGTACGGGTTTACGTTCACGATCATTACCGCTGCGTCCTCGTATCAGCCTCTTGACTACACAAGTGGGAGAGGAGGGAAGAGGGAGGAAGGGGAGGAGGAGGAAGAGAAGGAGAAGAGAAGGAGAGGGGAAGGGAAAGAGGGAGAGAAGGAGAGAGAGAGAGAGACGCACCCCGCCCACCCCCATCCGCCATAAAATAATCCGCGAGCAGCTCCGTCAGCTTCGAGTGCCGAAACGGAACCACGGCCATGTTCCTCCTAACATCTCGTGTATCACCAGCCTCGCCATGTGCGACGCTCGCCCCGAGCGCCGCCCCGAGCCGCCGCTGGTTCGCGCGGAGCACCTCCATGCACTGGCCGAGCACCATGAGACTTTTGTTGATGCTCCCCGCCTCGCGCAGGCGGTCGCCGGTGGCGAGGGTGTGCTTGGTGCGCTCGGAGCCCGCGAGGTCGATTAGGGTTAGGCGGGAGGTTAGGTACGAGGACGGTTCCTGCGCATCATAATCTCGCGTCAGCTTTGAGCTCTTCGGCGAGAGGGACGGGATGGGATGGGATGGGATGCGGTGGGGAGAGAAGAGAGGGAGTGCGAGGGACAAGGAGGGATGGGGAGGGGTGTATGGGAAGAGTGGGAGAAGACGCACGTCGGGCTCCCCGCGATGCCGCCGGAGCAGCCTGATCGTCACGATCCCGTGGCTGCGCGACGACTGGGCGTTCGCGAGCGTGCCGAAGACGCGCCGGTGGAGCTGCCCGAGGCGGAGGAGCTCTTTGGCTTCGGATGCGCTGCGCACTCTGACCTATACGCCTCATTCGTTAGCGTGGTGCTCGGAGGTGAGAGGCAAAGGGAGGAGGTGGAGGTGAGAGGAGAGAAGGGGGGGAGAAGGGAGGAGGTGGAGGGAAGGGAGAATGTACCTGGCGCAGCCCAGCAACATACTTCCCGCTCCCCTCGCCGTCGCTCGCCGGGCTCGGTTTGAGCGCGAGCGCCTTGCGCATGAGCAGCAGGCGCTGGTCCATCCCCGCACCGCCGCCGCCGCCGGTGGAGGCCTGGGACGGGCTCGCGCCGGCGTCGTCGAGCAGGTCGTAGATCTTCTCGTTGTACACTTCCGCGTAGCTCATATACACGCTGTAAGAGTGGTTCTTGTCTACTGGCAAGATCGTCGTGTCGCTCGAGATATCCTCGTCATCATCTTGTTGGGTGGACTGGGACGAAGATGCGTTGGGCGAGAGGGAGGGGAAGGGCGAGAGGAGGGAGGCGATTGATGGTGGGGCCAAAGAGGGCCCGCGGGAGAATATGCGGGATGTGGTGGGCGGGGCGGGTTCGACTGCTTGCAGTCTCACCGGGACGTACTACAGCCTCAACTCATCAGTTCCCTCTACCCCACATAGATCGCAAGAGGAAGAACGCGCACCTTATCCTCGCCCTGCAGCCCCTCGACACTCCCAAACACCACATCCAGCGTCCGCGGCAAGATCCCCTCGCTCCCGCGCGCGCTCCCGCCCTGCACGCTATACGTCTTGCCCGAATTCGTCACGCCGTACGCAAATAACAGCCCGTTCTCGCCTTGGAGCAGGCCTTGGACCAGCGGGAGCGTGGTGCGCGTGAAGAACGACGCTTGCGGGGTGGACGGAGGGAAGACGTGCGTGAATGTGTATGTCGATTCGGTCTGGGGCGCGGTGGGGTCGGTCATGAGGACGGAGGTGGGGGAGAGGGTGTGCAGGTAGGGCGTGGCCGTTGACGGTGCGTCGCCGAGGTGGGGGCGGATGCGCAGATAGGCCTGCATTCATCTATTAGCATCTGTAGATCCTGTGATTGTGTAGAGAGAGAGAGATACCTTGATAGGCTCCCGATCGCCCGCATCCGCAAAAGCAACGGGCGCAACGGCCGCAGCCTTCTTCGCAGCGGCTTTCTTCGCCGGCGCTTTAGCGGCAGTCTTAGCAGTCGCCGCAGGTGCCTTGGTAGTAGTAGCAGCAGGCGCCTTGGTAGTAGCAGTAGATCGAGTGGTACCGGTAGCCCGCGTGGCACGCGTCGCAGCCGGCGCAGGTGTAGGCGTCTGTGTCGGGGACGGATCAGCAGATCTGGACGCGGCTGTGGCGCGCGTTGTGCGCGTCGAGGCGCGCGTGGGGGCTGGGTTGCGCGTGGATCGCGTCGCCATCTCTCCGTCTCTCTCGCGGATTTGAGGAGATATAGCAGATGGTGGGAGATGGTGGAGATGGGAAGGAGATGAGATGGGATGGGAGGGGTGTGGTGGGAGACGCGTGGGCGACGCGTTTGATGGGTGATGGGACGGCGCGGTCAGGTGCCGCGTGTTGAGTTCGTGGTCGTGACTTGTCCTGCTTGTCGCGTCTCAGCATCAACCACCACCCTCTCTTCCTCTTCATTCTTCCCTTCTTCGCTCTTCCTCCCACGCGCCACCTCTCGCTCGTCACAACTTATTTTAAAGAAGAAGGAGCGGACATGGCGCCCTCACCGACGCCCGCATCCCGGCGCAAATCCATAGCCGTGTCCAGCGCATCGAGCGTGGACCCTGCGCGGCCCGTGCATAAGCGGCGCGCACATTCGATTGCGCCGGGGGATAAAGTCAGCCCAAGGACGCGCGCGCGGAGGCTCAAGGTAGCTCTCACTTCTCATCACTCCCTAATTCCTCATCACTCCCTAATTCCTCATCACTCCCTAATTCCTCATCACTCCCTGATTTCTCACTACTCCCTACTGGACCAACACTGACTGTGTGCTACTGTGCAGGGCCCGCGCAAATCGATCCTCAAACCGTCGCAAGACGACCTCACGCTCGACTTTACGACCTCCGCCTCTAGCTCCTCCCGCACGTCCCTCACAACACTATCCCGCCGCGTATCCTTCGCACCCGCCATCGACGTGCGGCTGTTCGAGAAGGACAAGAAGAACTCGCCGAAGGGCCGGCGGCGGTCGTCGTCTGCGCCTGCCGCTAGCACAGAGGACGAGGACGGTGGCGGTGACGGGAGAATCAGTGATGAGAACGCGGGCGTCCAGATCGGGAGCAGGCGGCGCAGCAGCATGCGCGCGCCGCGCGTGAGCGAGTACGGCGAGATGAGCATGGACGTCGACGGCTCTACCTCCCCCATCGCTAGCACCTCCTACCTCGACGCGCCCGATTCGTCGCCGCTCCCCGCGGGCTTTCTCGATAATCTGTCGGACGGGAGCGTCGTGCTACCAGACGAAGACGAGGAGGATGAGATGGATAGGAGAAGAAGTCGAGTCCAATTCGAGCAGGGCGACGAGGAGATGGAGTATTCCGACGAGGAAGAGGAGGATGGAGGGGACGATATGGACATCACGCGCCCGATCCCGCGCCACTCCCTGTCACGCCGCCGCCGCTCATCGACCGTGCCTAACCTCGGCGCTCCTCTCCCGCCCGACGACGAAGACGACGACGACGAAGAAGAAGAAGAAGAAGACCCGCTCCCGGACGAGATCCCGTTCGACGAGGACGGAGACGGGCCTCTACCAGACGAAGACGACGAGGACGACGACGCCCAGTACGACGAGGAGGAAGAGGATGCGGAGGATGAGGACGACGAGATCCACCAACAGATCGAACACGTCGAGTACTCCGCGCCGCTCGAGCAGCCGCTCCGCCCGCGCCGGCGCGATAGCGAGGCCGCGATTCTCGCGCTCGCCGCCGCGACGCACTCCGGACTGGTACCCACACCGTCTTCTTCCCAGGAAGAGCCTCAACACGAGCAGGGGTACGAAGAAGACATGGACCTAGACGAAGCGCAGACGCGGCTCATGCGCTACCGCGAGTCGCTCGGGCTTTCGTCGATACCGGACGAGCCGACTAGCACGCGCCTTACACATATATCGGAGGAGGATACGCTGGAGTTCGACGATGAGTCTGCGTTTGGAGCGGGCGGAGATGGATTTGGGGTGGGTGGGGACGGGGAAGAGACGGTCAATATGACGCGTCTGCGACGGAGTCTTGTGGGCAGTGAGGGAGGGGGCAGTGAGATGGATCTGACGCAGTGGCAGCGCGACGACTCTCCTCCTCTTGCCTCTACATCAGTAAATGGACAGGAAGGGGCCGGTGGGGATGAGGCGCCGACGAGCCCAAACCCACGGTCCGGCGCCGGCGGAGGGGTATTCACGGCGCGCAGGACGTCGTTCGCTGCGCCGGGTAGTGCGGCGGCGCATGGTGCGAATGCGCAGATGAGCGCGTCGACGTCTGCTGCTCCGTTAAACCGCAGTATCTTTGCGCCTCCGCCACCTTCTCGCTCTCAGCCCTCTCAGCCCTCCCAACAAGCGCAACCCAGCCGACAGCCGCCCGCATCCCCGTCGAAATCGACCTCCAGACTTCCAGTCCCGTCCTCTCCTACGAAGAGCCCGCGCAAGGCAGGCAGCGCGGCGTTTGCGGGCCCCGTGGAGAGGGCGGTGCCGAAGCGGTATCCGAGTTTGGCTGGGGAGGACGCGTTGCCTCAACCACAACCAACCACCTCCTCGCATTCTACGCAACTGGGCGCGGGCGCTTCGAACGCGACCGCAGGACCATCCTCCCAACCTCACTCGCAACCGCAACCTCAGCCGACGCTGCTACGGAGCACCTCCGACCCGTCGCACCTAGGCAAATCAACAAACCAATTACCCGGTCAAGGGCTGGGACGGAGCAACAGTCATGAACAGAGCGCGGCGCAGAAGAGGGAGCAGGCGCAGCGCCGGGCGAGCGTGAGCGGGCTGAGGAGGCCGAGCGGGTATTTTGCGGGGAGGAGGAGTTTGGGTGCTGGGGCTCTACCACAGCCGCCGGCTCAGGCGCAGGGGGACGAGGGTGGGGTGCGCGAAAAGACCGCGGACGAGGAGGAGAGGGAGAAAGAGAGGGAGAGGGAGAAAGAAAGAGTCCAAACGAGCCCGTCGGGGTATATCCGCGGCTCTCCTGTGCGCGTGAGGCATCCGCGGACGTCGAATGAGAGTGCCAATGGAGGGGATGGTGGGGGTGGGGATGTGTTTGGGACGCCGCCGAGGATTAAGGTGCAGGATGAGGGTGAAGAGGGAGAGGGAGGGGAGGGGGAGTTTCCTGAGGATGATGATTTCGTACGTTCCTCTCACTTCTTACCACTATACACGATACTAACTCGCTCTTCCCTCTCTCTCTCGCTCGCCTATCCTCTCGCTCGCCCACTTTCCATCAAACGCTCGCCTATGCTCTCGCTCACTTATGTTCGCCAGCCCCCAATCTCAATCGACCAATTCCTCACCCTCACCTCCGTCTCCTTCATCCAAGACATCTTCGTCCCGCCCGTGCCCCTGCGGCCCTCGCTCGCGCCCCGCGGCTCGCTCAGCTCGGCCGAGACGACCAACGCGGAGTTTGTGGTCGCGATGTTCGAGCATCTGCCGCAGCTGGAGCTGTATGGGCGCGTCGTGGAGGATATGGAGCGGTGGAGCGCGCATGCGGCTGAGGTACGTTTTGCGCTCGATTGAATGTATATATGGGTGGGGAGCTGATGATTGTGGGGGTGTGTAGGTGTATAAGCAGGCGGAGAAGGACGCGCTGAGCGTGCAGCCGAGCTTGTTCCGCGAGTTCGTCGAAGCGGACGAGGAGATCCAGCGCGAGCTCGTGGGTCATCTCAAACGCTACCAGCGGCACTGCCGCGCAAAGGTACTTCCTTTTCTCATCTTCCTCACATCGACAGTGTACTCATATATGTACGTGACAAGGTCAAGCTCCAATGGCGCCAATGGCGCCTCGGCTGGGTCAACGAGCTGCGCCAAACAGCCGACGCAGGCTTCGCCGCCCTAACCTCCGACGCGCAGAAACTCGAAGCCCTCTCCAAATCCGCGCACTCGCTCCTCACGACTCTGCGCGCCAACACCGCGCAGCTCGACCGCGAGCTGGCGGACGAACAGGCGTTCGCGGACGCGCGCGCGCAGGACGACCCGGAGTACCTCGAGGACCTCACGGCGACGATCGCGGAGCAGGAGGCGGTGCTGCAGGCGTTCCGCGATGAGCGGGCGGACAATGATGCTGCGTTGGAGGCGATGGAGAGGCGGGTTAGGGAGCTGGAGGAAAGCAACCAAGTGGAGAGGGAGGCGATCGCTAAGCTTGAACGACCCGAGGAGCCGGAGAAGGACGGGAAGGCGCTGGGGGACGAGATGGCGATGGTTGAGGAGGTGACGCAGTTCAGGATCACGAGGATACGGGCGAATAGCTGGGGGATTGTCTATGCGAATCGGTATAGCGTCGACGCGCCGTCTGTCGACTACGTCCCCCGGCCAGAACAACTACGCATCACTTTGACGCGCGACGCAAAGGAGCATACGACGGACGACTTCCCGGCGCTGACGGAGCTTGCCATGAGCATTCCACCCATATATTTCGCGAGCAGGCCGGGCAGGCAGGGGCAGAAGACGACGATGAAGCACGTCGTGCAGTTCTTGAAGGGCTTCTGGGCGGGGCTGGGCATGGTGCGGACGCAGTTGCGGTTTTTGAGTGTGAAGTGGCCTGTGAGCGCCACGGTGCTTGAGGGCGAGGGGAAGGGGATGCCGGGGCTGAAGGTCGTCGCTGATGTGGTGCTGCACACTGTGAAGGGCAAGTGCCGTATTGAGTTCGTGTTGGACGGGGAGACGCTTGTGCGGTGGCCGTTCTCGGTGCAGGACGTTGCGTGTGCTGTTACGCCTGTATACGGGACTGGCTTCGAGTGCGTGCCATCTCTTCTCTTCCATTTGTGAAGTGAGTAGGGGCTGATTGAAGGTCGAACTTGTAGCTGCGAACGGATATGCGCGGATATTGTGGAGAGGATTAGCGAGGCAAGACCGGATAATGCGCATGGGTGTATTGTGGATGCGTGTATTGTCGCTACGGCGGAGTATGCGAGGAGGGGGAGGGGGTCGGCGTCGATGAATACTTCGGCGTGAGCACTCGCCGGTGTCTGCGAACCCGTCTGGAGAATCCGCATCGGCGCATAGCGGACGTCCACGAGGGTGCGGGCGCGTTTGCGAGAGATGCGCCCGGATAATGCATCTGGGTGCTTGACGGGCGCCCGTCTTCCTGCCGCTGTCGACACTCCTGGAGATACACCTCGGCACAATCCTTCGCGCTATCGACTCAATTCATCTCTGCCAGCGCGTCGTTGAGGCACGCTTGGACAATACACATCGGCGCAACGCGAGCGCCCACCATGCCGCAGCAGTATCCTCACTGATGTCCGCGGACACCGTCGACGCGCGCCCAGATAATGCGCCACGGGCGCAAAGCGGGCGCGGCATAGTACGCTCGGGCATCCCGGGGATCGACGACATCAACTGGAATGCACACCTCGGTGTAAACACCCCGCAGCACTGCCGTGTCCTCTCCCATGACCGGCCTTCATCCCAATACCCACTTCCATTCCTCCCATGTCGATCTCATCTGTGGCGTCCGGCGCGGCCTCCCTAATTTTCATTTGCGGCGCATGCGCGTCTACTATCTGACTTTTTCCTCTCTCCATCTTTCTCCTTTCATTTGTGGCGTCTATGGGCTGTTGGCATGTTTTTTCTCTGATGTTTTATGTAGAGTAGTGTATATGTATCTCACGCTATACCCAATAGCCCGCTGTAGGCTGTGCTGTCATCGTGATGTTCGTTGCGGTCGTTAGAATGTGCGCGCTCATCGAAGAAGGCTGAGATGAAGGAAGTCAACCGTGGACCTGTGCAGGCAGTTGAGATGCCTGTTTCGTTACTCAATTACGCGAACTTCGCGAAGGTCCATGGCCTACATTATCACCGGGGTAAAGTACACCGGCTTGGGATGAATTCTAGCGAGCGTCCATCAGCAATTCTTGTAGCAGTAGACCGTCGCGCATTGAGTCGCGAAGCGGGCATATCTTTCATAACGCTGAGGCCTGCGTTCGACGTGCTCTTCTCTGACGTTTTCGGTCTGCAAGAACGCGCACAACACTGGCCTGGAACGAGTTTTCCGAGCGTCCATCAGCCATCCAAGACGGGCAGGCGTACACGTTGACAAGAACGAGGTCTGTATCCTGTACTTCGCGACGCACGCTGTACTTTTCCAAACTCCAGGCTCTCTCAATCGAATCTATCTCACTGAACTTCTTCAGCACTTTCCGTGCCTAGCACATCCACATGTTTTGTCATACAAGCATATAGTACCTCACACATACCCCGATGACAACAGGCGGTGCCCCTCCACTGGCCCCTATCACGCCCCCAGGACTGAACCGTATGCATGTTTATCTGGGTTTTTTTACGCTCGATTCCTATATCCGGTAATTCTGCCATTTACGCGGTGAATCCCGGTAAATATTGGTCAGGGGCGGGATGGGGGGTGCGAGGCCGTAGGCCGAGCACCCCCCATCCCGCGCTGCGCGCGCCTCCTTCGCCTGGTGCAAGTCGAATGTACTCGGCGAATACAGCCCACTCAAAGGCGGCCGGCGCGCCACAACCCGGTGATCTCGCGCTCGATGTACGTCTCAAGTCCCAAGGATCTCGGTTCGGCGCGCGTAGCGGTGGTATCACGTCGTTCAGCGGAGAGATGTCATCGATGCGAGCCGCTCGATGCGCTTCATTCATCGGAGGGATGGATCATTGATTACCTGTAGGTACCTATGCCCTGCAGGGGATTTAGAGCCCTCGAGGCTGTGAATAGTAGCTCGGATGGAACATTCGCGGGAAGGATTGGCTCGACGCTGTATGTATGGAGGTTAACTGAGCGGCAGCTGCTAGTAGCATTGGCAGGCGGCAGTGGCCGGGGCATGCCTTGATATGCATCATGTCCTTGTATGCGACCATCTTTGGGAGATACGGTCAGCAGGACGTATCATATCGGGCGTATCCGGATACAAGGGGCCCGTATGCCACTGTCTGACGTCCGACCGTCGTCAGCCCCAGCGCCAACCTCTCCGGCATGGGCGGGTGAACTTGGGAGCGCGAGTCGGAGCGCTCTATGAGGCGTTGAACAGTTTGTCGAGCAGGCGTGAACGTACGATTAGGTGGATTATCACGGTGTATTCAATCGTTCTCGTCCGACTCGGACTTGTTGTGCACGAAAGCAAGTTGGGAAGTAATGCGATTAAACAGCACTCGGGACCTGATTACAACAAGAACGGCTTGACATTACTCTTCTTTGCTTGTCTGAGTAACTTGGGCCACGATACTGGCCCAGAGATCGGCGACATTTCTCTCAAGATCACGGCAATCCTCGAGCTGAAGGGTTTCCAGGCCGTGGCCACTCTGCAGACGCATGGTGAGACCAGCGGTCAAGGCTGTGTCCAATGTTGTATCACGTCCATCGTGTTCGACCTCGTAGGCAAACGATATGCCGCTGATGTGCAGATCGCGGAGAGCGGGTAGAAGTTGCGGCTTGTGGGGTTCCGAGGGAACAACGTCAGACTGGGCAGTCATAGTGCAGATGAGAGAGGTGAGGAACGAAGCAGCATTGCGGGCCATCTTGTCGTTTCCGGTGAACTCCGCGAATGCATACATCGACAACGACTCGACAGACTTGGCATGCTCGAAGTATGCAACAACGTCATTGTGCGGCCAGTACAAGCCAGAGAGCGTCAGATGTCGGAGATGTCCAACATATGTATCCGGAATGCCGCGTGCGAGCTTCAGCGTTTTGGCGTGAAGAGACGTTGCGTCACGAGCGTGCGGCTTCTGTGGAGAAACGTCTATATTGAGTGAGGGATGGGTAGTGCGTTCTTCGGTCGTCTTAGGGTACGGGTCAAGCGGAGAGAACGGGACGTGCCCGAGTCGTAGGGATATCCCATAGAAGACGCCCCTGTACACGAGTTGCAGCGCCGTGAGATAGGGTGGTTCTTCAGGGTGACGGCTCGGAAGATGGCTATGAAGAATGTCTGCAGCAAGTGCGCAGTCACTGGTCCAGTCCTCCATCGTTTCGGGGATGATCTCCAGATCTCGTTCATCATAGTGCTCTCTTGATATGAGCTGGACATACAAGTTGGGGCTGGCTTTGTATGCGGCCAGTACATAACCTATGCGAGACATTGTGCCGTTCAAAGACAGTTCGCGAAGGGAGGATGATACGCTGGGAGTAGGTGTGTGCGATGGAGGCCTGAAGAGGATGTCGCCTTGAAGCTCAAGTACTTCCAGGCAAGCCATTCCCCGGAGCGTCTCTAGAACGTAATCAAACTCGTGGTGGGCCATTTCATCATCGGAGATGTCATGATTGTAGGTGTAGGTAGAGAGGCGCAATACACGAAGGGTCGTCGAGTGCATTCCCCATGGGAACTGCAGGAGACCAAGATGTAGCGATTGCAAAGCAGGGGCGAGGTCGAATAAAAAGTTGTTCAAAGATGAGCTCCACTCGTTGCCATACCGCTCATGATATTCCATCAAGTCTTCGTCACATTCGACGATCAGGGAGTGTAGGTTCGGAGCGTCCTCTGGAAGAGCTTGGTCGAGGATCTCGGTGTCCAAAGGAGAGATCTGGAGATCGTAGTGTTGAATTTGCTGGAAGTTGGCCTTAACATCATGTCGACGACTGTCGCGAGTGCGGTGCCATCGGCTTTTCACAGTAAGTGGTGCGGAAGCCGCGCGTTCCAGGTAGGTCTTCCAACACGAATCAGACATGGATGTACTCAGTTCGCACCAGAGGGAGCTTGTACTAAGTGCGACGTAGCGCCAATGTCGGCACACATGTGTGACAGTGGTCCATACGCAGGAGACTTGTCGTGGCGGCCAGCTGGACTTCGCTCTCGAGATGTCAAGCAAGTCCCGAAAGATGCGCCCGAGTATTTCGGAAGGCAAAGCCCGAGTAGTGCACAAACGAGCATTTCGAGCTTCCCTCAAGGAGGAAGCCTGTTTCCTCCGCGCTGCGTCCAGTTCCGATAAGACCGCTTGTACTGCAGCCACCTCCAAGTCGTATGCCAGGTTGAGCTCGTCTTCCGATTCGAATGAATCTACCGTTGGCAGTGAAGATAACCGCATATCGAAGGCCGTCTTCCAGTAGCTCGAAGCCGCGCCACTTCCGAAAGTTAGCACCTGGGATGTTCTGCTCTCGGGGATTGATGCATACCTTGCGCCCACATTGTCCATTGACATCTTCCGAGTATGACAGGTTCTATTCTGTTTTACGGCAGAAGGGTGGTGAGCACTCGCTGGATATACCCGGATGGAGGGTGGTTGGCAAGCCTTTCGACAGCTATAGCGGGTAGATGAGAGCGCGAATGAGGGTACAAGACAAGGTCGGTACCGCGCCGAAGTGATCCAGCGCGGGAGCGACATGGACAAGTCGTCCATGAGCGCGACTTGTCTTCTGCGTCGATGTCTCTGGGTACCCTCAAACGGAATACATTCACTTTCTGCGTCGAACTCTACCAATTGCGTCGAGGAAGATCATTCATGGAGGTATAGGAGGACTCAAGATCTCCGAGAATTGCCTGTCCGCATGAGTATCTACGTTCCCTGTGGGCAGAGTTCAATAGACACGCGGAGGGCGCGCTCAAATTCGACTTTCCACAGCAAGTACTAACACTCGGAGATGCTTCCCAAACAACAGCTCCCAGTCTTTGAAGGCCTACAGCCCTTGACGCGCGGTCTCATGGGTTGTATGTCCGTCGATCGTGCGCCAACTTCCAACTCTTAGGCGTTCCGTTCACTGATGATCGTGCAGTTGCTATTCTCGCACGGTCTATTATTGCACCTCACAGCCTACGGCCGATGACCGAGACTCGTGTAAACGAGAACCAACACAATTCTTCGCCGGGGTCCTTCCACCAGCGGTCCGTCCGCGCGCGCAAGACTCCTTACCGTTGACCCGCTGGCCCGTGATAGCTCAGAATGGTGTACACCTCTCGGACCTGAGTGAACGACCGTAGTTCCTCGGAACGTACTGGCTCTGTGCGTCAATCTGGACGATCCGCGTCGATCCGCTATTATTGAATTGAACCGCAGTCTCGAGCAGGCCAGGCGCAGGGACGCCATAGAGATGCGCGCGCTTGAACATAGGCGCCCATAAGCACACTCACTACGTAAGCTAAGAGGACTTTAGCGTTGGCATGTACTGATTACTATGTAGATGCCCCGTCGCCTACTCACGCTCCCGTCTCGCGTGTTGCGATCTCCCCGGCTGGCTCAACAACAAACCTATTACAGCGCTACCTCTCCGCGTACAGCCTGCACATGCGCCACCATCTCAGAGCGATTCGCGCCCGGCGTTATCCCTTCCAAATCGGTCGTCGGCTAGATAGCGGCGCGCATATAGTGGATTTCCCGCACGGCGTCTTAGCCCCAACTCGCACGCGCGCGGTCGACGTGCGTCTCATCCGCACGTCGCCGCTGCTCAGCAGCTCGATCATGATCGAACGGAATGTGGAGTTACTTCAAGTGGCCGAGATCGGCCTAGCGATGTAGTGAACGTACACCTCCGCCATCGTCGTGGCGCATGTCGGCATGTACCAACGCGACTCGTGCGAGCGTGAGTGCTCGCTCCCTTTCATTTCCAATGGATAGAGTCTGGTCTGGGAGCAGTATAGTGGTGCATCATGCTACAGATCAAGTCTGGACCTGGCAGCTCTGTAGCACACGGAGACACGGAACTCCCGTCGTCAATGTTTGCGTTCAAAACACGTACTTGATTGTGAATGAGGATCCCCAATGATTTTCAGGATCTCATGAATTTACCCTGAGATGTGAGGGGACAATGCGGTCGTACGTGCTTGTCTATCGGAGCTGCAAATCATTGCGATTCTTACGCGAGCTGGTAAGGAGAGGCGCTGGCTTCATGGCGTGCTGAGGTTAGATCTCTACCGTCTGGGGTATGCAATCATGCCCGCCTTACGGCCTCGCTCACGCACGTATCGCCCGGCGGGTGCCTCAACCCGCGAGTGGCTCACTTGATATTCTCGTATGTCTCCAATGTCCGCTGCCCTCGGTGTGGTGGGAGCAACACTGACAAAGTGCCAATTTGCACAAGCCAACATCTGCGCGGCGGCGATGGGCTGTGAAGATCTCTCTTCGGGGCCTGCGCGTGTTCGCAGTTTGAGTGAGTAGCAAATCGGTGCATCAAGCGTGGATGGTTTGGCGCGCGCTCGCGAGGTTTCCGGGTACTCGTCCTCGCGCAGTGGGATATGGTAACGTTGCGCAGGGGCTCCTCGGAACTTCTTCGTGGTGCCGCGGGGCCACCGACGGCGTACACAGGGCACGGTCGCAATGGCGAAGCCCGATGTCAGACTCTGATCTCTAGGAATGAAAAACGGCATCCGGAGGAGTCAAGACATGCTACCCCGAGAGCACGTACACGGTGGCGTAGAAGCCTGTGGTCTGTAGAACACCAGAAGCTCCATATGCGCGATTGTAGACTTGCACAACGAAGATTGACGATTAAGATACTCTTCTGGAAGGCAGTGCCTTGATTTGGTTTACACCATCCTTATTCTCGATGGGAAGTATACCTCATGGTATTCAACTAGTAAGGTCCCGTCTGTCGTATTACGCAGTGCGGAATAACTATCAGGTCTGTCCCCCGAGATACGAATACCGTCCTGAGAGCTCGGTGCCGATGTAGCAACGGTGAAGGGTATCAGGTCAGACTCTGATTTCGCCTGCCTGCTTACAGCTCACACCAATGCATGCGCTCTACACCAGTTTTGGATAGCGATAGAGACCAATACACCTCGGTAATCTTACACAAGCAGCCCGAGGCGGAAATTGCTGCGCCGACTTTGGACGCCATCAATGCCATCGCGAGACCGTGAGAAGGGCCACCAGCCACTAATCCGAAGGTGACTCGCTTTGGCGGTGACGCTGTGCAAGTCGAGAGCGCGCGCCGAGCACCTCAATCTATGCCTCGAGAAGTAAAAGCTAGAAGTTCGAGGGGCGAGTCTATTCCTTGATAGCTGCCTACATCAGATCATACTTGGTATAGCCTATGATCACTTCTGTCAGTGTTAAAGCTCGATGCAGTCAGTAAGACCGTACGTTGAGCGCCTCGATGGAGGTGATTGTCGGAAAGGACGGAACGCGTCAAACAAGCGCTCGTGGTAGGACCCGGAACTAGCATCGCTTACCAAGACGCGAAGCGGCGCTAGATGCGATGAAGCTCACCCTCTACTCTGTACTCTAGCTGATGTCCGGGCAGCTCGTACAGGTGTCCAAGCAACATACTCGTCTTGGTGAAACGGTGCTGCATGGTCACCGAGCTCGGCAAAGTATCGGGAGTTTCAACCTCCTTACAAACGTGCATAGACGACGGATATCATTGCTTACTACTACGGTCGACGCGGCTTCAGGCGAAACGACCGAGCGCACAGACTTCAGGATACATGTGGTGTAGGTAGCTCCGTCTGAGAGCGTGCCATAAATTGGACAGTCGATAGCGGCATGTACGAGATTATCAGACACAGTGGAGTGGGTCAGTTAGTAGTAACAGGACAGTGATTGTATCAGGAAAGGTCCGTGGAGTTGAAGCGGGCCCTTGCACACTTTTGTACAGCACGCAATACTGAGAGCTACCTGTGAGCTGCTGAAACTCCACCAGAATATGGCACAGCTGTGGAGACATCGTCATTATGGGTAAGTATGCGACTAGGAGGAACTCACGCACCGAGCGACGTGGTCCGAGATGGAGCAGCCTGCGAGGGTAAGTCTGGGAGAACTACCAAAACACCTGTTGCGATCCGTACAATAGCGTGGACTCAAGCTCTGGCGTATATGAATGCGTAGTCCTGACGATGAACTTGAAACCTGTGTGCATTCATGATGAACTTCTGAGTTGGTCGTTCTTTTCACAAGGAATAATGGGAGCCGGAGTCTCGCGCGTAGATGCATGGCTGCTTGAGACGCAACGATCTCTGCAGCGACTTGGCAACGACCGCATATGATATTCAACGAAGGCGAAATCGTATAGCCAGCTCGGTATGAGACCGAGACAAAGCCGAGACTATATGCAAACGTCAATTACACCTGGAAGACTCCCCGTAACCTCCTCCTACCACGATCTCCAGATGGCCGAGAGAAGTCCAGCGACTCAACGCGCCATGCAATACGCCTACAGGTTGCCGCAGCAACCAAACCCTCCATCGAACTTCTCCCATTCTCTCAGAGGTGCTTCCACTCACACCAGCAGATCCATTGTCAGATATCGTCAAGAGACACCGACGACGGTCGCCTGATCCTCGTCACGACGACCCTGCATCGAGCATCGCGCATGCATCAGCAGTTCGTCGTGTCGCCTGGAAGCTTCAATATCGAAGAGCGGTCAAGTTCGTCGCGTGCGATCAGGCGGTCAAGTTACGACGAACGAACACCGATGCCGTCGGGCGTTTGCCGGCGGTAACAGCTCCCCTGCGACGCAATGCGTCGGCGGAGGCGCACGCGCACGGAAGTGCCTAGCCAATAGTCCGCGGAAGCCGGGCGGGCGCTCGGGACGATCTCAATCCCAATCACGACGGTGGCATACACGCTACATTCACGAGTACGGCCTGAGAGAAGGTCAATACAGTATTTCAACTCCAGCCAATTAAGACAACACACACACGGCTATAGATCTCGATGGCCGACCGACCCACAAGAAGCCCTATGCCGCCCGTAAATGAGTTGCTTCTGTAAACGGTATGGCCTTGGGCCTGCAGGCAATTGAGGTGGGTCGCGGGCCGTCGGCGATAACGGCCCAGGACCAGCGCCAGGACGAAAGCGGGCAGGCGGGACCGGGAGGGCGCACGCAGCACGCGGCGCGCGCAGCAACCGTCAGCCGCCAGCGCGCCGAGATCATCTTCCAGAAAACGACAGCTGGAGAACGCGCGGATGTGGAGCGTGCACGAGCACGCCATTCCCCATGAGGGCCCTTGACGACCCAAAGCCTCCAGCCCTCCAGGTGTTGTTCTCAAGCAAGGTGTGGTCAGATCCCTTGTGTCTCGTCAGCGATGCCAGTGGCCGTATGTATGGAAACTGTATCAAAAGTCAAAGACTTTCGAAGGCAATGGCATCATGAAGAAGAACGATGCAGAGCGGGCTCGGACCCGTGCCCGTCGCGCTCGTCACGGCGCGTACTCACAGTCGGACCGGCGCCCGATATTGGTGTGTGCCTGACCATGCGGGCTGCGCAACGCCGGCGCTCTTTCCTCTTTTGGTGACCTCAATCGCGCTGAGCGTTCGACGGTCGATGCCTCAAACGGAGTAAAGCGAGGTAAAGCGAATACGCGGAAGTACTCGGTGTAGTTCGGAGTTGTGAGAGCTCGACGTGTGTATGTATGAGGATGGGCGGGTATCGATCTATCGAACGGGGACCCTAGTACGAATGGAATGAGTATGCGCAATTGAGTTGAAAAGTAGTGGTGAGGCTGTGCCCTGAACGAACCGTACGAAGTCCGTGCGTGACCCTCTTGGTAAGCCTCGCGATCCCCTTCCCCATGCAAGTCACCCAGCACTGTAGTAACCGGGAAAAGATGATCAAAACGGCGCGCGTACGAGTATGAGATGAGAGCCACGCGGCAGGGGCTACATGCTGTAGTCAAGGCGTGTTAGTACGCCTACCGGCGTCCCGAATCTGTACGAGAACAGCGCGCGCGACGGGTATACGAGCGGATGCAAACCGGTGTGTAGTCAGCAGGCGGATCGCGGACGAGGATAGCGTGAGGGTGACATCGCAAGATTAGCATATATACGAGCAGGTTGCCGCCCGGGCTATAAGTTGTACAAGCACATGACGAGGAAGGAGACTCGAGTATGAAACAGACGGCAGACGCAATGGGCATGGACACATGTAAAGACGAGAACTTTGGAAACAGTTGAAGGAGACGGGGAGAGAAACTATTGTAGCACACACATACACACAGGGAGAGATAAGCGTAAGCAGAAAACCCGAGACCGTTTTAAAATCGTTTGCGGACACACGGCGTGATGAAGCCGTACAGCCAGCCCGGCGCACTCTAGCAGCGATACGCGGGGCGGCGGCCTGACGCGCGTTCGATCCGGTCCCTCCAACTCCTTGATCCAAGAAGCCAAGCAGTTCCAAGTACCCGAGAACCCGTAGAGCGCGGTCCTCTAGGACTTGCACTCGCAGATCTTGTCGCCGTACCAGGTGTTGCCGCAACCGTTGCAGTAGCCCTTGGTACCACTGCGACCCTGAGCACCGGTGAGACTGCTGACGCTGCCGGCGGGCGAATGGCTCGTGAGGCGGGGTTGAGGAGCGGGCTCGGCCTTGACGGCGGCGGTCTCGGGGAGCGAAGACGGCGGCGCGGGCGGGCTCACGCTCGATGCCGACGACTGGTCGTGGTGGATTGCTGCGCGGTGGCGCTGGAGATCGTGCTTGCGCGAGAAGGAGCGGGCGCAGGACCTATGCGGGCAAACATAGGGCTTGGCACGGTTGGGGTTGTGCGTCTCCATGTGCGTCTTAAGGTTGAACGCGCGTGCAAAGGCTGCGGGGAAGAGGACGAGTCAGCGTTCTGTGTATTGTTCGAAGGCATAGAGGAGCTCGAAGAGACAGGAACGTGCTGCTGCGCAGCCGCAGTAGGGGCGGTATAATCGAAAAAGGAAAAGGGTGGGCGCGCCTTTGTAGGTGCGTAGTAGTGCGTAGCAGGTGTGATGTAGTTTGGGCGCGTAGATGGAATGCGATAAGGGAATGGATGCTTACCTCGCGGGCAGTTCGGGCATTGGTGCTTGCGGCGCGAGTCGAGGTGGCCCATGTCGCCGCCGTCCTCGACCGAGAGGATGGCGGGCACGTGGGGGACAGTCGGCAGACGCGTGGGGTGATGCTCGGGGCTGTAGCTGGAGCTGCTCGATTGGATCCTCGGAATGTGCCGGGGCATCGCGGGCTGGTACTCGGACCGGGCGCGCTGCACGGCGTGATGGTGATGGTGGGGCGAGCGCGGCGGGCTGGGCACGATGCGATTGTTCCAAGGCATCTGGGGGTGATGCTGCTGCTGGGCGTAGGCGAGTGCCGGATGGGGGTGGCCGTAGTCGGAGCCGAGGCGCACGTTCTGGAACTCCATGAGGGGATCGACGAACTGGTTGTACGAGGGCGTGGGAGGGTAAGCTTGAGTAGCCAGCGGATTATACCCGAGGGTCTGCTGAGGCAGATGGAAGGGCTGGGCCGAGTAGAACGAGGAGGCGGTTACGGAAGACACCGTTTGAGCGTCGTAGTCAGAGAACACCGATGGTGTGCCCTGAACGTTGCGGATGGGGCCGTATGGGTCCGGGTTGGAGTTGAAGAGCTGCTGGAGCGACGGATTGTCTTCCGGGAGTGCGCCGAGCGAGTCGAGCGAGTCGAGGTCGAGCTCAAAGTCTTGGAGAGATGGGACCTGGACGTCCGTGGAGGCGTCGAAGAGCAAGTCCGAAGAGTATTTGTGTTGGTTAGAGTGCTGGCCCTGGGTAGGGGAGGAGGAGAAGTTGTACGAGGAAAAGTTGGTCGACATTTCAAAAGCTGGAAGCGGCGGATGAGTCCTAGTATTTATACGCCCGCTGATCGTCGTGGTCAAGCACCAAGCCAGACTCATGCCCAAGACGCCATCAATCCACCAACAACCGCCTTCCCACCCCTGCAAATGATCAACTCACGCCAGCCTCCCGGTTCGGTTCCCCCGCCCGCTTCCCGCACCCTGCATACCCCCCTCCCCGCTAAGGGTCAGCCCGATAGCCTTGCCTACACAGCCCCGTCCTCCGACGTTTCCCATCCTGAGATCCGCTATTCCAGATTCCTTTCTCACCCCGCCTCGGACGCGCCCGCACTCCCCCTCGATCACGCTCTATCTATTACTGTAATCCTCTTTGATCGGCTCGCAACGCTCCTACCCCTCCCTCTCCTGGCTGCTCACTCAGCCCATCCCGGCCCACAATATCACCGCCCTCAATGCCGCCCTTTTGTGCTTGCGTACTCACTATAGCATGCGCGCATCATGCCCACAACCAGCGCGCCCGATTTTTCCCATCGCCACACGAACGCTCTGATGCGCCCGCTCGGCGCTTAATGAGCATGCCATCCGACGCTTGCCACGTCCTCCGCCGCCCCATCACACTTTGCAACGCCTTTGTGGCATAGCAGCATCGCACTCGGCCTGCATGAGCAAGACTACCCCCGGGCGCGGCCGAACTATCTGCGTCCTTGCATTGTGCGACATGCGTCGGAGAAAGCATGTCAAATGGACAGCAGCGCGGGTCAAAACGAGTCTCTCTGAGCCAGACCCGCCAAGCTGCATCAAACGAATAGGCAGGCGTATCGGTCCCATCAGCCAGCAAGGCATTCACTTGCCCGCCTTACTCGCACATTCAAAGCTACTGTAGAGAAATCGCGTACAGAAACGCTCTGGAATGAAATGCTCTAACGGCAAACGTTGTAGTTGGTCGCATCAGAAAGACGCTCGGGCATACATTCGGCCTCTTTCCCACCGCACAACTCGTCCTCAGATCTAACACTCATAGCTGCTACGCGCTGCGAGCTCGTGGAATCAAAGCTCGTACTAGCGTGGTACCCAAACGGCCCGCGCATCGTAAGCCCGTGGGTTAGAGCTACGATAGGGATCGCCCCCGCATACGGCAAGACAGCTATCGTATCAAAAGAAGCACTCTGGCCAAAGGACTACACGGCTTCGGCTTCGGAACTTCTGAAGATTTCAATGAACGGCGCGGGGAATTCTGCCGGCTTTGAGGCATGGGCGTCTCTCGAATCCCTGATCATGAGCTTGAACATGTCCAGTTCTATGAAGAAGGAGGATGCTGAAAGCTTGCTTGTGGTCACTGGTTCGTTCCTGCAACGCGAGGCCGCACCCCGGGCACCTACGAGCGTTCAATACAGCGCCCGAGCCGGCCTGGTGCCTTCTATCCTATCTTTGTGGCGAGTCCCCCTGCCCTCGCGTCGCTCCACCCGACATCGTACCCATCGCGGACGTATGATCTATCCATCGCCCTCATCTCTATGTATTTCCACCAAACTTTGATCAAGACGCGACGCGCCCGGCCATTCAAGCTCCCCGATCCAGGAATGGTGCGTCCTCTGTGCGCCCCCAAAGGCATCGCTCGGTACTGATTCGCTTCTTGCCCAACGTATTGCCTAGGCTAGTCGTTGTGGCTCAGGGATCGACAGGGCGGTAGCAAAGAGGCGAGAGCGACTACGTCGTGCCCGATCTCGAATACAAACCGTCTTGCCCGAGCCGAGAGCCATCATCTCCGCGCGCGTCGTCAACAGTCGTCTAAACGACAAGGTCAATGCGCTGGCGCCTCTTTCTCCTCCCTCACACTCCCCAGTGCCCGATACATTCGAAACACTCCTCGCCGTACACATGCACTCCATGCGCGCTGGGATACCCGGACCCATCTTTGCGCGCGCACCGTGGATATTCTGCTACACACATGGCCCGCATCATCATCATCGCCTGTAGCCTGTATCCTAGCCCCGGGTACCGGCCACCTGAGCACCCAGCGCAACTCGCACAGCCACGCCCAGTATACCCGCACTCCTCGAGGACCGTTTGCCTACTCTGCACTCGCGTACTCGTCGGAACCGTCTCAGGATAAATGGATTATGGAGTCGTCATCGCCACAGCACACTCGAACAGACGGATCGACAGGGACCGGAGCCCATACTCTTTTGTCAGCGCGAAACGTATCGCGGCTTGCCTATCTGGCGGATGTTGTGTGGGGTAAGAGGACCTGTGCGCGCCACACGGCGTGAGCCGGCGGCGTCGAGCGTTCAGCGTCCCGCGTCATCTCCCTCTTGGACAGTTCGCTCGAGCTCCGAATGTGACATGCTTCATACATACAACACACCTCCGCATTACACGGCGGCCGCAGTCACACAACCTCGAACTCGCAAGTCGGTTAAACATGTACAACGCTTTAGACTCTTGACCTCGGGAGCTCAACCCTTCGGAAGTGTCACCGAGTAGAGCACGTTCTATCTCTGTTCCTCTGTTGAACACAACACTTCTCCCCGTTTCTCTGAACGCGTTACCGTATGGGACTGCAAGCCTTGTATGTCGCCTGTTGATATGGAGCCACCGTCTCGAGGCGCGATGATGATACTGATGATCCCTGTTTGTATCAGTTGCTCAATCATATCGTGTATACTATATCAGCCCCTTCCATCGCGACGACTGTGATCGTGCCACCCGCGTTTGAATTGGCCATTGCACCCTGGGCGAAGGTCTTGGATTGACCTGTAGCAGGCTCCAGATGTACATCGCCATCGCGCCGCGTACTGTTCCGTCTACCTCCTGTTCGCATCGCGCGTAGGGTATGCGACTCAGATTTGTATTGGGTTGCGGCTATCTTAGCTGGGTCTGAAATAGATGCCGCGGGTCCGGATCCCGAGGTCATCTCTCTTCCTGACCTAGAGGCCGCATACGTTGTCGGCGCGATGCATCCAGTATCCGCGCTACCGTGTTGAACGGTCTGGCAACTGTTCATCTTGCGCCCACACCAAGGATGACTGAGTTGAGACCGCACCTACGTCGCTGCTGCCTCTTATGATCACGAGCAGGAGTGCTACGAATAGTTCACTCCATGATCCTTCGCTGACGGAGGTATCATATAATCAAGTCGACGTGCGCTACGTCGACATTCGGGCATGCCTCGGCCAGCTTCCGCAGGCTGTGTCCACTCCGTTTTCGCTTTCTAGTTCGCCGAGCGCACCGTCCTCCGCTTCAATCCCGACGCGACGCGAGTCAATACACACGAGTTACGAGCTTTCATACATAAGCACTGCCTGCCGCGACGGTTTGAGCATATGTGGGTCGGCCATCTCTGACCCGGAAGTAAACGACGCGCGGCCACGAGGCTATCATTGGATCATCAACGAGCGGCCGAGATCAATATACAGATACCAAGAGGACTGCTACAGCTACTCAAACTGCAAGTCAAAAGCGCTGCAACGATCAAAATGTCGAGCGCGCAGCACTGCCTCCTGAAATCTCGAACCGCAAGCAACTCAGCAATTGAGTAGGGGATGTCGCCGGCATGTTGAATCGGCATCAGGGATCCTGCATGGGCGGTATGCGCCGTACGGTAAACCGCGCGCGAGGCTCCAGCTTAGGCAATTCATATGCGTTGAGCGGCGATGTCAGCGACGTTGCGACACAGCCACCATCCGGAATCGTGACTCGGAGGTGGCGGCCACCTGTGTGTTTACTCTCGTGGTCCCTCGTGTGCCCGGAATTCCTGCGGTTTCAACGTTGTACGTCTTTGACTGCACCCGTATGTTGTATTTGCGGACATGATCTGCACGGCGAGGTTTAGGAAATGGCGATTCGAGCGGACGGATCCTGTGCGCACCCCTCTACCGTCGGCCCAGCGCTGCAGCCATTGTCGCACGTCGCGGTCCTAGCGACCTCCCGCGTATCGCAGTAGCGTAAATGCAATCGTACCTCCTTTACTCCGAGTACTTACTCCTCAGCACCACGAACGCAATCCGTACTCTCACAAGACCCAGGACCGCAAACGCAATCGTGCCGCGAGCGCAGCGTGCCGGATGCCTAGATATCGTAGCCGCACGGACGTCTCGTTGACAGATTCTTCCATCGTGGACTGGGGTTCTCGTTGGAGACCTTCTTCTCTATCTTCGAGGGTTGACGAGAGGGTGACCGGAGCTCTCGTCGTAGACCTTCTCGGCCAGGTCTGGCATTGGCGCTCTCGTCTTGGACCTTCTCGATGAAATGGGCGTAGCGCCTTCTCTTCACTCCCGCCGGCTGGTACAAGGCGGCTGTGGGAGGGCGGCGATGCAGAGGCCTCTGGTTGGATGAGAGCGCCTTCCCAGCTTCTTGGTTTTGCCTACACGCCATGGTCGATCCCTGGTGCTGAGCCTAGTTGCTGGTACTCGTCGGATTGCAAACGCTATCCGACTACTGTATCTGCTCCGTCTCCAATGTATCGACAACGAGAGCGGCGTGGTGTGCCGCATGCCACTCGTGGCCGAGCTCTGGTCATCTTTGAAACGCGATGTATCGGGATCGCTCAGATGTCACTCCATAGTAAGCACTGTCAAACGAAATGTCAGAATCTGTCCAAACTCCGTTGATGTGCTGTTCTTACTACGGATGACCATACGAGCGACACGAGAAGAGCATACGCAAGCCCAGGCTGACAACAACGGCATATCTCGACGATGGGCTTCAGCAAATGTGTGAGCACGAGACATCATGCACATACCCACCGTCCGCCAACTCTCCCAAGAGCTCGTTCATTGAGAGCGGCGATCCAGAGTCGCAGAAGCCGCAGAAGCACGGCCACCGTCTTCTCCCGCATCCGCAAAACTTGCCAAGCCATCGCGACTTCGTCGTTGTACGATAATGCCGTCCAGCCCATTGTGAACAAAGAGCGTATCGTACCCGCACACACGCCGCGAAGTTCTTCATCGTGCTCCCAAGCATTCCCAACTCGATTGCAAGGTTCATGCTCAGCAGTCCAGAAGTCCAGAAGCGACCGCGCAATCGCTCATCGCGGACATACGATCGATTATCGCCAGCGGCTTCCTGCCATTGTCGATTGTCCAGATCGCACGCGCTCACGCTCGCGCACGCCACCAAGCGTAGATTCCGCACCCACGGGTCGATGAATCCAAATGCACAGTTTGTGTGCGCCAATACAGAAGCTCAGAAGCGCATCAGCCATCGAGGATTTGCTAATACGGCCTGGGAGCATAGCGGAAGGTAGATGAAAGAGAAGCAGCCGACAGCACTCGGGGCGCCTCCCAAAGCGCACGAGCGCGCGACGATCAGATGCGCTTCTGCCATCGACACGCGCCTTGACCAGCTCCTCCACCTCCTCAGCTCACGCCGCACCCGTTGTTCTCGAGGATTCGCAATGCAACTCCCACCGATCATCTGAGAAGCGCTCGAGTCCAGATTCGTTGCGTACAAGACACACGCGCCGAGTAGAGCGTGTCCGACAACCCAAACGAAGGGATGAAGTCACAAGTTCGAGTACCAACGCGCACCAAGCACGCGCTTGATGCGTACATATTACCGTGTCCTCCTCGGTCCTATCAACTCCGAGGTCAATCTTCATGCCTTTGTTGCTCGCCGAGTGTCTCGATGCCCGACGTTTGAGCACCCCGACGCGTCGCGCCAACGCGCGTGACCGCGGCTGCCTCTTGCTGTGCGTTCAACGCCCCGGGGCATGTTGCTGCGCGCTGGCGCCGACGTCCCGCACGGCCTCCCGCAGTTGTAGGCGCAAGTGGAACCCCGTCGTGCTCTGCGCGCGCCTGTCACGTTCCGCCCTCGTTCCCACTCCCGCGCCCTTTCCGTTTTCTGCTGGACCAAGCTCAGATGCAACTTTCTGCGTTTGAGCCCTCCGGTGCAAACGCACATGCGCTTTGGACCAGGGCACTCGTTCTTGGCGGGTAGACGATCAGACTGGTGCCAGCGTGTGTTGTGCGGACTGTCGCGACGCATTCGGCACACCGGGGCGGGCAGGGCGTGCTTACATATGCCGCTACGGCACACGCTGCTGATGGCTGTTCGGCTCGTGGGAAGAGGTTACGCAGCCGCGCGTTGAGTCGCCGTAGTGTGGTGGTTGCGCTCGCAATGCAGTCATTTTGGCTTGTATGCGCTTAGATTTCGCCTTTAGAGATATGATCTTTCGTACTGGAAGGTCGTAGCGTACCTGTTCGGTCGGTCGGCGCCCGCGATGCGCCAGGGGACTCGGGCGCACCGTATGGAGATGTCATCGCTGCTCAACCGTAATGTCAAACATCTGTTTGCGCTACTAGATAGCGTCCGAGTGTGGTCAGCGTTCATGTTATGAAAGAGAAGGCGCTGTGAGAGCACGATGACGCCTGAGGGGCGATAGTATTGGGATCGATCTTCTCGGGGCGCACTATGTCGGGATGAAAGACCGGAAAGGCTGATGCTTCGCGAGCCGGCGCAATGAGGGATGGCCTGTATGGTAGCCGTTCCGGCATCCTTCTCGTTCGTTGATAGGCTAGGACGTGGAAACGGTGTATAGAATCTCTGGTGAGAATCGGCGGAGGGTGCATTGTTCCGCCAGAAAAGGAAACCCACGCGTTACGGAACACGGAATAAATGAAGAGCGCACACTGTATCTGCGCTTCTGAAGATCATGGCTTGCTTCACAAGCCGGGGATAGATTTGGTTGCTGTGATCTTCTAATCCCAGGACCTCGCAGATCGCCGGGCGACCCTGGTCTCTTCACCGTCGGGGCGTGCGACTACGTTGCCGCCCTTGAGTTGAGGCTCGCCGAACCGCGCATAGGCAGTGCTGAGGATTGTTGTCAGCACGGTGCGCAGGCCGAGCGGGAACTCGCCCACAATGACGACTGAAAGGGGCGCATGGACGGCGGAACAGGGCAACGAATAGCAAACCCCAAAGATGGTGTTGCTCTATATTGGCCTGGGAGATTTGCCTCTACAAGCTCGACTCCATCGTCGAGGTCTGCGGCGGCGAAAGCGTATGAGGGAGTCAATCCATTACTCTTTGAATGGCGCGCTACGCAGACTGAGCACTAGTATCACTCACCGCGGACTGCGAGGCGCGCGCCACTCGCGATGCAGACCTGTCTGCCTCGACCAACGTTCGCTCTGAATGCGTGTCCAGAATACAGCAACCAAAACATCTGCATTCGATTTCTCGGGGCATCAGTAGGCCCCTCGGCGGTGCAAGGAGAGTGACGCACTCGGTCTACAACCAACGCTAACTCATCAGCAACCCTCGCGCGCGTTCGTCCTGGCGAGCCCAAGACTCGGAGGATGAAACGAGATGTCTAGACTCTCCCGCGTGTACACGCAGATCAGACCAAGCATCAACGGAAGGTCAATGCACCCTGATCTGGTATAGTTAGCCTTGAAGCAGCGTTATCCGCGAACGCAATACATGTCCACGCTGCTGTGCCTCGGTGAGGGGAGATGAAGAGATATGGAGCGGGACACCTACCCACCGGCCGTCTACCATCGCAATTGAGTTGCCGAACGTCGACTCATTCCATCGTTGCGTCGCGAAGACCAACACCATCTCAGTGGCGCGCATCGGATTCTGACGAGCAGCATAACCTCACCAGTTTAGAAATTCTCGTATGGTTCTCACCAAAGCAGATGCTGCATAGGGCGTAGTACTGCGGGTGCAGGGACAGGCCTATGTGTGAAAGATAGAGCGTATACGTTCTGAGTGAGGCCTGGACGGTTGTGCGCTCCGAGATCAAGTCGTGCTGTTACTGTACCTCGTGCGTCTGCGACTCGAGTACGGTGAAGCGCAATCGCGGACCCGACGGGTGAGAAGATCTAAGTCGGCTGGCGGAAGCGCCTTACATGTAGTTTTTTTCAGCAAGCTTACAGCGATTGAAGGCAACGGCCGTCCGACCGAAGCGGGCAAACCGATCTTCAGGAAACTGACTGATGTTGCCAATGTAGGGACAGCGTACTTCTGATAACTCCCTCTGCTTCACAAGGTTCGGTACATGGTGTCTTGCTGTAGTTATGCGTGAGAGCGGCCCAGAGGGCTGTAGCAAGGATAGAGTTGACTGAGCTGACAGCGCACTTTGATGTATTGCAGTCGGTATAGATCTTTCTGAGATGCGGTCGTGCAAGATCAGGCTTTCCAGCACTTATGAAACTGACTGTCGGCTTCGCTTCCTGACACTCGCTCTCCTGAGCGTATTGAGATGTCTCTTGGTCCGCCGTATCCAATCGAAGGGGAGTGAAGTCGATCGTGTATGTGCTTCGATCGTGTGTAAGCTGTCGAAGCGACTCGGTCCGGTCTAGCGAAAGGCCACAACGAATGGCCAGTAGGCGCGTCTAAGCTTGAACGCAGTCTTGAAGACATGATAGATGCGTCGGATCGCCTTCTATGACGAAGTTCTGTAGGTTTGAGGTTTGTAGACAATTGGGGCGAAGACCGCCAACCTTCCGAAGAGGAGCATGAGAGAACCGGGGAATTGCCGTGGCCACAAAGGATCGACGCGTCGACCACCTGACCGCCATCCAAGCGCCCTGGGCGACCTCTGCGCAGTCGAGCTGAATGCATAAGGGCCACTCTGGGCCACTTGCAAACGAAGACAGACAAGTGCAAGCGCCATCGCGACCAGATCCTGACCCTGCAGGGAAGATTCCGGGACCTACACGGGCCTACACGCAGGCCAAAAGCGCCAGGGTCAGCTCGATGCAAGGATCGACGACAAGACCGACCCTGCTCATAGAAGCACAGAAGCATTCAATGACATATTCCGCAGTCACCACATCCCAAGGAGCGGAGAGTCAAATCTGGTAAGAACCAGGAGCAGGGATGCGTTCGACTCGTGCTGAGCTTCGCGAAGGTCGGTACCGGGGTGCGCCGCAACCCCGAGCCTTTCTGCTTCCTTCAGGTCTGCATGAGCAGAAGAACGGTGTCCGAACTAGGACCGAGGAGTCAGCTGACAGCGAGAAGGACGTCTTTGGGATGAAAATGTTCACACTGCCCATCAAGTGTGGCGTACAACCGGATGGTGCAAGCCAAGCTCCTACATCAGGTTACAGTCAAACCTCCTGTCAAGATAGAGATCTCTGGGCCACTCACATGCGGACAGAAGGCGCCCAGCGCAAATCTTTCGCTTTGTTAGTGCGGTACAGCCAGGGTACAGCGCACGGCATGAACGTCAAGCAAGGGACGAGAAGCATGTGCAAGGCGGGCTGCTATAATCTCTTCGCAGGCTGGGGTACATTGGGCTATGGTACATCAGTGCAGTATTCGTAACAGGACTGAAAACGTTCATGATATGGGTTATCAACAGATGAAGACTCAATGTCCGCGTTCGAAGCCGCGCTCCCAGGAGTCACCACCGAACCCTTGAGCGAAGTTGGCAAACCCGCTGCGTCCACCGGTGCCCTTGCGCCGTGGTGGTCCGGAGGGACCGCTGCGCTCTTCACGGCCACTAGAAGCGCTCATAATGATGTGCTTGTCAACGAGCTATAGATGGCCCTCTCATCAGTCAAGCGGAAGGATGATCAAACGCGATACGCACATCGTTCAATGCATTGGCGCTCTTCGTGAGCGTGCTCAGGTACGCGGTAAGCTGTACATCCTCGTACTCTGTATCAAACTCCGCACGGAACTGTGGCGCGTCGCTCGCCGGCAATGAGGCGACCAACGCGGAAAGCGCGCGTAGAACACCATGGTCTTTGGGCGCTGAACCGGCTATGACCGACCGGACGTAAGAGACTAGGACAGCAATACGATCATGTAACATTTTGACCGCGGCGCGTTGCGTTGAAAGATGCGACTCGACTGAACGGGTCGGCTAGATCAGCTAGCGAGCAAAGTATACGTAGAAACAGAAACTCACGCGATGTGCCACCCTCTCCGCCACGCGCCGTCCAATCAACAGCGATGCGCTCAGCCTCGCCGGTCTCCACGTTGAAAGGCGCTTCGACGAATACGGCGCGCGACGATCCCTCACGGAAGTCTACCGTTGGCTCATAGACCTTGAGGGGCAACGTCTGCGAAGATAATGCGGCAGTGCTTGCATTGGGTTGCAATATCAAGAGTAGCGGTGCCGAGCTGTAAGGCGTGAACTGCATCCATGTGTTATTGTATGTTCTCCCACGAGATCCAGAAGTGAGATGAGCCGACCTGATCGCTGAGAGCGAGATGGCGCGCGGTGGGTTGATTCGCCACAGTATACCACCCGATGAACTCCAGAGAAGGAAACACCTTCTTATCTGAGAATCAAGTCAGCGCGCATCCACACAGCATGCAAAAGAACGTACACTGATCTCTACGTGAGTCAAGGACTTCCAGATCCACCTTGTCTTCTCCCTCTGCTGATGCCAGGATCAAGTCGAAGCTGTTCACGATCTCAACCTCGCGACCATTCTGCGTTCCTAGTAACGCGCCAATCACTAGTACGGACCGCATGAGAGC